GCTCAACCGTACTCCACTGATCAAGGTGTTGCCAAGCGTGAACTCATGCTGAGACCCTTTGCGAAGCAAAACCAACTTCGTGGGCCAACCTGGCATGGGCGTTGTCCCACCTGAAAGTCGTTGCGATTGTGGTTCGCAGGTAGTTCTGCCTAATCCCCGCTTGCAAGGATATCTTTCTTCACCCACAAGGCCAACAGGTTGGTTCCACGTCCTCTTCACCCATACCTTTCCCTACGCACTCTGACACAGCTTTGAGCCTCAGTTCAAGGCTAAGTTGACCAGCAACGAGAAACCATCCACTTGAATTCTGGCAAAGCACGTTGCCCCGCTGCGTTTCATGCCACCCCCCCCTTTGCTCCTACATTGGCAAATGCGGCTTCATGTCCTCAGATTCAGTTTACAATTGCTGAGGCATGCAGAGAGCCCTCGCGTGGCTTTGACACCCAACACACAAGTCCCAACAAGTGCAGAAACAGTTTACACTGGTGACCATAGGTGTCCTTCTAGGGGAAATAGATGGCCCTGGTAGATGATTTAACTTCCGGATAAACCAGGGCCATCTATTCTTCTACCAAGACAACCCCCCCCAAAAAAAAAAGGACACCTATGCTGGTGACGGCTCGGCAAAGCCACGCCCTGATCAAGCTCGCACCCTCCTCTGCGCAGGACGCATAGCTTCGTAAAGGCCAGAGGTCTTGCCTTGGACGGCGCTGCCATGCAAATTTTCGGCCCTGGCGCCTGTTCGGAGACCCTCGGGCCCTATCACAGGGATTCCAGCGTACAAAGGACAACCACGCACGTAGCATCCTGGAACCCAGTTGTTAGCACCTACCTCGGGTCACCCAATGCTTGTCTGCTCCACTCAGGGCGGGCTCACTCCTTGGCATCTTCATTTACCGCCCAAGCACGCAAAATGATCGACTGAACATCAAGCAATGAAGAAAACACACATCCATCGCAGGCAGAAACAACTGACAGCTCCATCAACTTCACCTGGCGGAGGACCTCTAATTTGGAGTTTCCACGGCTTGTGGTGGGATCATAATGACTTCATTGCGCCCCTGTAACCCAAAATTTACCATCGACCAATTTGGGCGTTTCTCAAAATTGGGGTTCTCCGCCCTCCAGGTATGTGGTTTCCTTTCGGCTTCTCTTTCAAGCCCATCCAAAAAAATGTCACCCCATCTGGACGTCACCGAACCTATGCCGAGCCGCGCAAAGGGAAGGCCGGCCCACCGCGCAGCCTGCCAAATGGGCCCAGCCCGCCGGGTGGGTTTGGGCGGCGCCGTGAAGGCCAAAGCCAAAGGTAGTGGTTCTGATAAGAACCAGGGCTCCCTATATTTCCCCTCACATCACCCCCACCAAGGGACACTCACCTTTCATGGGCCAACAAGAGGATACTACTACAAGGGCGCCGATCTAAGCCAACCAAAAACAGGGAGTTCTGAGAAAAAGCGCCGCTATTGTCATATGTGCTGAATGTTGGCTTAAACATGATGGAGCGCCAACCCTGATTGGCAGTGTCCACTAAAAGTTAGGCCCGCTTCGGATTATTATTTGGTACCAAAGGAAAACCTAGCACTAGGGGTCCCTACCCGCAGCAAGCTCTCTTAAAGGGGTGTGCTTCCAAAAGGTCAGTAAGCTCTTGACTGCACCCGGATAGTGAAAAGCACCAGCTTGAAGACTTCTGCTTTGGGGAAAAGGCGTGCCTCTGGCCCCTCCAGCAGCGTGCTTGAAGCGGGCCCTGAGCTCACCAATTCCGTGCCTCGGAAGAAGCGAGCGTGTGGGTGTGGGTGGTGGGTGTGGGTGCGTGGGGGTGCGGAGGCCGGGGGCGGGTGCGGGTGCGGGGGTGAGTGCGGGTGCGGGTGCGGGGGCACTGCACGGGCCATCCGGCAGACACCAAGCAAGGGACATGGACAGGTACCATTTGTCCAAGAAGTCATGGAAGTGATCAAGAGGCCTTGGGACGTCTTCCAAAACCCTGGTGTCCACGGATCCATGATTGTTGGAAGAAGGAAAAGGACGACCCGAATAGATGTTAAATTAAATCTCTGCCTGGTTATATCGGGGGCCAGTAGAAACGTGAGTCAGATCTACTCAGACTACCACCATCCTGTCAGCTGCCCAAAGTGACCCAGATAGCATGAGCCAACCGATGCCAGTGCGAAATAAGAGACATCGTTACAGCGCCCTGTGCCTGTGTTCTCACGCAAGCGAACCGTGCCCATGCACCCAAGCTCCTACAGAACAGCCAATGCCAGCTATTTCGCGCGAAAATCCTGCGATTCTTGCATGACAACTCGACAACCCGTTGCAAGGGTGTCAGTCTATTGGGCTCCCTTGGCTTTCTCAATTTGAAAGGGGGCACAAATCACTTCCCGACATAGCATTCCAAAGCTCAAAGCCTGGACCTCCGTGAGCCGATCAGAGCACCGACTTGCGGCTGGGGCTGTTGCTAGCGGTGTCCGCCCGGGGCCTCAGTAGAAACAGCGCCTCAAACCGACATCCTCCGGTCACTCCCCAGGTGGCTGCATCCCTGCGCCGGGGCGATCACATGTGCACGCTGTCCGCTGAGAAAAGCGAGCCAAAAGCCGAAACCTGTCCTAATCCGACCCGCGCATGTCCTTTCGCTGCCGACTGCAGCTACGTGCACCGGCGAATGCAAGCCATGCTTGGCCAACCTCCCAAGGAACATCCAAGCGAAACCCACAACAGCACGTTACTTACAAGTGTAATGCCCCCCTTTCTTCCACCCAAAAAAAGGCCCTTTGCTCTTCACCCATCCCAAAAAAGTGGGCTTTGTCAAGCGTGCATCCCGGACTCAACGGTCCATCCACTGCTTTCTGCATCCTTCTGTCCACGGATCGGTGCAATGCTGGGTGTTGAACAGTGTGGCAAAGCTGGATCACGCCTCCAACTCTTGGATGGTCATGCTTGCAACAGCTCCCCTCAAGAAAAGCCCTCAGCGATGGTAAGCACCGCGATGCCGCCCTGGCCATGACTGACGTGAGAGGTTGCAACCCCTCGGCCGTGGCCCGATGCAAGAGCCCAATGAATCGGCCGTGGACGGGCCAACTATGCTCCATACTTGGAACAGTTGGGACTGCTGCCAAAATCCAAACGCTGACGTCCACCCCACACCCCACCCACCCCACCCCACCCCACCCCACCCCACCCCACCCCACCCCACCCCACCCCACCCCACCCACAACATGCTAACTGTCGGATTTGAATGTTTTGACAGCGAGCACGCTGTTCCTTTGCACTTCGAGCGCCTCTTCTTGATACATGGCTGTGGCTCAAATAAGTGTACCAAGATGGTCCCCTTGGCAAACGGAACCAAAGAGTAAAACCTACGCAACCCTAGCCCCTGAAAATTTTGAGCCACAGCCACATCCCAACCAGACCCCTGGGGCAGCCAACTTCGCGTCAGCGTCCTCGGGTTGCTCAGCATCGTCCCCTCGGGCCGCAGGTCTTCGGAGCGCCGCAAAGGAGCCCTCGAACAAAGGCTTGCTTTTGTGAGGTGGCTGTGGCTCAAGGATAGGGTAACCCCAAAATGGGTTGCCCTGGTAAATGGAAACATGGACTAAAACCTGCGGTCCGTATCCTGGTGGTTTAATTTTGACCCATACCCAAGTGTCAGGGAGCTTTGAAGAAATGCATAGGTGGGTGCGCAGCAGGCGGGCCCTTTACTCTGCGAGTCGATGAGAGGGGTTCATTCTGGGAACAGGCCTTCAATGAGTGCAGGGGCTTACCTTGACCGACAACACGCGTCTTTGTCAAAAGGCCGCAGGGATGGCCGTGGAACTGTTGCCCGACAAATGTCTGCGTCTGGTCAATGAGAAGCCGCTATGTTTCGCCTTGGGCGACTGCGCGTGATCAAGGAACTCCGAAAAGCTACAGACTCCTGACATTTACGGGATAGTTGGGCCTCAACCCCCTTTCTTTCCACTATCTAACAACCACACGTAGCTTGTTCCTGGGCCAGCCGTGAAAGCCAAAAGCCCCACGCGGCCCATGCTGGAGCCGAGCGCTGCACATGTGGCTGCCGCCTGCGGCAACCAAACCCTGATGAGCCCTTCGGGGACCCCTCGGTGCTGGGGGTTCCCCCAGCAAAATCCCTTAGGAGACCCACGAGTTGCCCGTGTGTCATGCTTCAAGCTCCCTGCACCTTCGGCAAGTTGGAGGTGAGTAAGACGCCAAGTTAAGATGGCTATAAGTCAGTCTCAATGTAGCCATGCTATCCCCGAGCAGAATGCAAATTGAGACATGGCTGAATTACCAACTCCTCAGCGCCTACGGTGGGAAGCTGCGCATGGGATCCAAGCTGCGGTAGACTCTCAGCCACACAAGTGACGCAGCTGCATCACACTGACAGGGCCCGGTGCCTCATCCAGAACATACCCTGCACAAAGAAGCCTCCTTCTTCCGAGAGCTTGGGTGCCGAAAAAATCTGTCGCCAAAAAAAAATCACCCCCAAGAGAAAGCTTTCGCCCCCCAAAGTATGGCACCCCAAAAATATGCGGCCAAAAGAAGGCTCCGGGAGAACCGGCCCCGCGCGGGAGAGAACCACAGGCTCGCGGTGGAACTTGAGCCCTACGAACTGGATGCCCAAAACGTCCGCCCGGCAGAAGTCGCAACTTCCACCGGCAAAGAAGACACACGACCCAAGCAAAAACCAGATGTGCGCGTTTTCGCAAAAACAAGAAGCGAATGTCTCCAGTGAAATCGATTCTCTTTAAAACCAAGAAGGGAAATAGAAAATATTCATGTCAGCAAATGGAAGTACAGTATACGGTTCCCACTTCAACACGGCTCGTGTCAAATTCTCGCGCGAGGTCTGCATGACCCCCCCTGTCCCCCTTTCGCGATGCGTCCATGTCCGCCGCGCTTTTTCGGGGCAACCCTAGAGCTTTGCCTAGGGACGAAACGAAAGGACCACCGAAGCCTTCCGGACAGGTTCCTCCAACCTTATCGAAGAAGGCGGTTCTTAGAAGGATTCTCAGACCTTTCCTGGAGGCAGGGAGTCCTAATACCTTTCCTGAATAGCCATCAGGAAGACTGCACGCGAACCTACCGCAGACCCTCAAGCAGCACGGGGCGATCTGCCGTTGGCATTCCCGGCCGGTTGTGGAAAAGGGTTGCAGCTTTGCGGGACCGACGCGCGGTAGCTAATTACTGCCAGTGACACCTTTGCATCTTAGCCAAAAAACAATAACGCTGCGCATCCCATGACGCAATGCCCCTTGCAGCATCAGGAGATCGTGCAGCATTTGTCATCCGCCGTGGACATATACTTCTCCAGGCTCTCCTTATCTTTCAACCTCGGCAACAAGCTTGAGTGCAGGGCGCACGCTGTCGGCCCCAACAAGTTCCATTTCGAGCGGCTGCCATCGCAATAGCGCAACTGGCAACGTGCCTGAACTTTCAGAATTTCAATTGTGACATGTCAAACTTGCCCATCCGCGACTTCGGGCCCCTTGAAACGCCACTGCCGGCGAGGTGCCCGGACAGGAACTTGGCCTGCTGCAGCGTGGTGATGGTGCCCGGGCGGCACATCCGCAGCCAGGGCAGCAGCAACCTCGCGCGCGGGGCCAATCTGGATCTTCCCCAGGCCTGTGGATAACTTGTGCTGTGGATGGGCGAAAACCAGTTCGCAGTCAGAAACCCTGGAATGATATGATGCCCCTGCATATGCCGACAAACCATGGTTTCGCATGGTTTCAAAGTGGTGCAGGATTTGGTCCATCCAAAGTATTCATCAACCAACCAGCTTGTTCTCGGGGGGGGTGGTGCTTCTCCACGGGTGAGATGTGGGGAATCAGATCACTTTTGGAGGGGAACACCCCGATATTGATAAACTGAGCTTAATTCATTTGGGTCATCAACATTATGCGACCGTGAGCAGTCTTTAACAGGAGCCATTGGACGGTGGAGGCTTGACTGGTGTCATCTTGGCAGCGGGGTCTCGGGAGTAGTAACATGACAGAATCGAGCGCGACAATTGCCACGGGCTTTCACATTCAACGCATTCCTTCGCCAGTTCCAGCCAAGTCCCAAGGAATTTGCAGTCAACATGGTCCCGGCTACCTGCGTACCGCCTCAAATATGCCCCCAAGGTCGTCACCCCCTCTGCGCGGGGCGAAAAAAGACACAAAAACCGCAGCCCCGGGGCTCGCCGGGCACATCGTACCTGTGGATGGCCAGAACGGCCGCGCACACGCCAGATCGCCCGAAGCCGGCCTTGCGACATCTCGGCCAATGGGGGAAGGGGGGGGGGGGGTTGGGAGGCGCCCGAAGCCGGCCTTTCTAATGGGGGGGGGGGGGGGGGGTTGGGGGGGGGGTTTAACTGCTTTTGGGCGTGAAGAATGGTGAGGGGTACCGACGTGCATATGCAAAACACATGCTGGACAGAGTCCACCATTAGGTGGCCCCTCGAGGTGTTCGAGCCTTAGATCCAGCTCTTGCCTCGGGAAAAAGACTTTGCAAGCCGGTGGTGTGATGCCAAAAACTGCCTTCAAGGGCAAAAAAGGTACACAACGGCCGGTCAGGCCTCTAAAAACGAGTCAAGTGCAGTACCCATGAACCAGCATCCAAAGAGCCATCAAGTGCAGCCTACACCCCTGGCCAACAGGGGACCTGAAAGTCAAGCACGGGTGCTCGCCCTTGGGCCGGCACCCCGGCCCCGCAAAAGGACACCCCCCACGAAAGCCACCTACTTTCTTCAAACCGGTTCTCAGAACGGGTCGAACCGTTTGAAGGTAGGTAATCTGACGGGGACTGCTCCACTGCTACGCAAGACCACCCTAAGTGCCTTGCGACAAAAGCGGCGGCAGTAAATGGAGCGGCAGGGGGAGTCAGCAAATATGGGCTTTGGTTTGGTTGGGGGTGGATGGCGGGGCGCAGCGGACCCTCTATTTCAGACCACCTGGCCGTGATCACGACACCTCCCCCCCGAAAAGGAAAAACTGGCTGCCGCGTGGCCCCCCCGGCTCCAAAGCCATCACAAACCCACTGCAGAAAAACGAGCCAGCGGCGGACTCCGCGCGCCGCGTCCCGAAACATCCACGCGCCTTGCAATGGAAGGCCGTGGCCCCCCCGCTCGAGCAGCCGGAAGATACCCCTCGAAGAAGGTCCTGCGGCGCGAAGGCGGCGCGGAACGCGGCGCGTGCAAAACACCGGGACGCGCGGAAGGAGTTCAAGGGTGGGCGAGGCAGGTGAGGTTATGGCCTTTAAGTTGGAATCAACGAATGAACGAATGAACGAATAACGAATGAACGAATGAACGAATGGAACGAAAGAACGAATGAACAAATGAACCATGCACGAAGAACTAAAAAGAAAAAAAAACGAATGAACGAATGAACGAATGAACGAACGAATGAACGAACGAACGAAACGAACGAACGAATGAAATGAATGAAATGAATGAAATGAAAAAGAAGAATGGAAGCCTGCATGAAAGGGCAAAAGGAAGAACAAGCGAACAAAGAATAATAGGCGGAAAATGAAATCAAAGAAGACAGTAGATGAACAAATACATAGATTAAATTAAGTTTAGATTAGATTTAGAATTAGAGTCAGATAAGGATCGATTGGAATTAGAATAAGCAGACAGCCTAGACAAATAGATAGATGGATAAATAAAATAGAGGCTAGATTAGTTAAGATTTTAAAGGCATTTTAGGGAGAATTAGATAGATAAAGATAGATAGATAGACCAGATAGATGATAGAGAGATAATTAGATAGATAGATAGATAGATAGATAGATAGAATAGATAGATAGATAGATTAGATAACAAAAATAGAAAAATACAAATATATATACATAAAAGATAGATAGATAGATAATAAGGCAAATAGATAGACAGATAGATAGATAGATAGATAGATGAAGATAAGATAGATAGGTAAAGATTAAAAAAACATTAGATAGATAGCAGATAGAAAAGATAGATCGATAGAATTAGAAGATTACCATAGATAGGTAGATAAATAGCTAGATAGATTAAAATAGATAGATAAGATGGATAAATAGGTATGATGGGTATATAGATAGATAGATGGAATAAATAGGTATATGGGGATATAGAGTAGTATAGGTAGTAGCAGATAGATAGCTAGATAGATAGAGAGAGACAGAGAGAGAGAGAAGAGAGAAGAGAGTAGAGAGAGAGAGAGAGAGAAAGAGAGAAGAGAAGAGAGAGAGAGAGAAGAAAGAGAGAGAGAGTAGAGAAGAGAGAGAGAGAGAGAGAGAGAGAGAGAAGAGAGAGAGAGAGAGAGAGAGAGAGGAGAGAGAGAGAGAGACAGAGAGAGAGAGAAGAGAGAGAGAAGAGAGACAGAGAGAGAGAGCAGAGAGAGATAAACGAGAGAGAGCGAGAGAGAGAGAGAGGGGAAAGGACGAGAGAGAGAGAGAGCCAGAGAGGAGAGAGAGAGAGAAGAGCGAGAGAATAGCGAGAGAGAGGAAAGAGAGAGGATATAGATCGCGAGAGAGAGAGAAGAGAGAAGAAGATGAGAGAGAGAGAACATCAGATAAAGCCAGAAAGCAAGAAAAAGAAAGCGATAAAAATAAGAAAGAACACACGAAAGAAAGGGTGCCTGATTGCACAACACGGATGGGAGGTGCGAGGGAAAAGAGAGGAGGACAGGTAAGGAGGGGGAAGGGAAGGGGAAGGGGAGGGGATGGGGAGGGAGGGGAGGGGAGGGGAGGGGAGGGGGAGGGAAGGGGAGGGGAGGGGAGGGGAGGTGAGGGAGGAAGGAAGGGTGCAACGCTGGGAGAACGCTAGCTCGCCCACCTTCTCGGGGACACCGCCCTTGGTATCATCGTAGGCTGCTTGCACATGCTTCATCCCCAGGTCGGTGAACTTCTGCTCGTCGTAGCTCTTGGCGAGGCCTACCAGAAGCTCCCCCAACTCGTGCCTAACGCCTATGCTCCACCTCGGGTAGAGCATTTGGATTGATTCAAGCGTCTCTACCATAGGTGTCCTTTTTGGAAAAATGATTACTAAACAACCGGAAAACCAGGCCATCTGTGTTCTTAACCAAATCAACCAAAAAAGACACCTATGGTCTCCATATACCTCTGGGAAGCCAAATAACCCACTTGAGCCGGAGCTTTGATGCCTGTGCCAAGCCGCCGGTCAAGGCAGAATCTGCTCCGCCAGTGCTGTGATAAACTTTCAGCCAGGCCCAAGTTGGGAGCCGTTGAGTTGTGCAAACCCATGATCTTTAAGCACCTGCTTAAGCAAATCCGGCAAGTCTGGCAGCACATGGCCACCTCTCCCAAAAATCTAAGCAAATGGGAGGCATAAAACACTCCTCGCTGCCAAGCATATCATCTGCTAGGTTTGGCAACGGCTCGACTTTACGCAAAATGTTTCTGCGCCGGCATTTGCAACATGGCCCCGAAAAGGTCCGAAAAGCAGGACGCATCCGTCTCGCGGACCCCCCGCTTTTGCGCGACTTCACCGACCCCAACGAAACTGTTCGCCACGTCTGTCGCCTTCTTTATTCTTCTTCCGCCAAAAACCCGGGGGGGGAAAAAGGAGAAAAAAGAGAAAGAAGAAAAAAAAGCACCCGTGCGCCGCTGCGCTTGGCGCTTCCTTTTTTGCGCCCGCGACAAGGCTTCGACCAACGACGCGCCTGACTCGTTGTCCTTGTTGAGGCGGACCAAAGTCTTCACGGCGTTGGCCTCGAAGAACTCGAAGAAGTTGGGAGACGATGGCGGCACCAAGTGGCTGCAGGTGGCCGGGTCCGGGTCCAGCACCGTGGTCACCTGAATTGAAAGCCGCAAGGGTGGCTCGTCTTTTGGTGGACACTAAGTGTATTTGGGGCAGTTTGAACAGCAAACCACAAGGAAAAAAAACTGCCAGCCTAGGATTTGTGGGGTGGTTAGGCTCGATTCCGCTGTTAAGACCCCAAATTTGTCAATGGTTTGCCGATACTTCTGCGGGCTCCGTTGCCATGGCACCCACGGGGTCCTGGATTCATCTTCCAAATGCCCTGGCTTTGCTTGCGGTACTGTTGCAGGACGCCGTCGCTGGAGTGGCACGGGGTGCTGTTGCGCTGTTGTTCAGGGGGCTGGTGGAGGGTATGGCCAAGAGTCTCGGCTAGGTGTTATTGCAGGCTTGCGGGATGTTGTTTGCTTGCTGTCAAAAGAAGCCGCCACTAGAGTGCTGAGCGGCTGCACGTGAACGGGATCTTACCACTTGGCTAACATATGTGCAGTGCTGAGCGAGCGCATGTGAGCGGGTGTCCTCACTACTTTGTGCCACTTGGCTGGCCTGTGTGCAATTCTGAAGAGTTGCACGTGAGCGGGTGTTCTTACCAAGGACGTGTGCACGTGAGCGGGTGCTCTCACCACTTGGCTGGCATGTGCGCAGTGCTGAGCGAGCGGGAGCGGGGTGCACGTGAGCGGGTGTTCTTACCACTGCGCATTGCTGAACGGGTGTTCTTACCACTTGGCTGGAATGTGTGGAGTGAGGGTGCACGTGAGCGGACACTGCGCGACGCTACGATTCCTATCAGCTGCCACAGTGTTTAAAGGGTTGCCCGCACAAACCAATGGAAATTACAGTGTTTTTGAGGCGTTGTTGCGCGCGAGTGGGCGTGCCAATACAGCACGGCTGAGGGGCTGAGGGAACAACAGGATGAGCACTTGCTTCTGTTTCTTGTAGTTCAAAAAACATGCGAGGGCATCAAGATCCATCAAGATCCTTCTAAATTGACCCCCGCATGCAATTCTGAGTTCTTGCTAGGGCCACGGTCGGAATATGCATTCCCGTACATCCCGCAGGAAAATGTGCGCACCCTTGGCTTTTGTGCGAAAGCGAGTGAGTCCCTATGCGCACTGCTGCACTTTTGGCTGAGGCGCTTCGGGCACACGAGAAACAAGCAGCTGCCTGCGAACCATAATCAAATGACAAGGTGGCTGGTTTCCACCGTGCTTCCGGAACGCGCGACCATCACAACAACAGCAGCCCTTCTATGAGGGTGGACTACAAACTTGCCTCCCACTGCTGGGCCAGCCACTTGCTAAATCATCTGGCTGGCCCCCACTTTCAGACATCCAAACTGATGTTTCCCCTATGCCCGACCCTGCTCAAGTCTCCCAGTTGCATCCCCTGCGGCCTCAAGCCTCCCCCCCTCAATATGCTCCAGTTGCAGGGTCGGCCATCAGCAGGATCTGCCCCGGCACCACCCAGGTGGAATCCCACTTCGCGCACAACTCCACGGCCTCCTGAAAGCTCCGGCAGCCATACCCACGGACAAGATGGGTGTGTGTTTGTTTGATGTGCTGGGCGTGCGCTTTTTAAATGGTTCCTGTTTTTTGGTATGGCTTTTTAAAGGAGAAGAAAAGGAACACCGACAACTGTTAGGGCCAACGGTTTTTTAGCACAAACCAGTGCGATTGGACCCTGCCCCAAAAACCGGCAACCACAAATTGGAAGATAGTCTTAGTGGTGGCTGGTTCAACAGAAACATGCTAGGGGGCAAGGTAGGGCAAGAGGGCATGGACAAATTGTTGTGGTTGTTGCTTTGGTTTTTTGTGGGAAATGTGGGTCGTCCGCTATGCCGTCCGCAAACCAGCAGCAGACTACCAATCATACTGCCAGTTGATCATGTGGGTCTTGTTTGGACTGGATTAGTTCGGCTAGCTGCTTGAGGAAAACCCACCATGATTATCATTACTATCATTATTAAAATCAGTGTTATTAGTATTAATAATTATTAGTATTCTTATTATTATTATTATTCTTATTATTATTTTAATTATTATTATCATTATTATTATTATCATCATTATTAGTATTATTATTATTAATAATTATTAAATTAAATAATTATATATTAATTATTATTATTGTATTTTTTATTATTATTATTATTATTATTATTATTATTACTATTTGTTTGTCCTTCTTCTTATTTATTTGGGGGGGGTCCCCTAAAAACGACACCCCCAGATTCGACAGTGCCCATTTCAAGCGGCGGACTTGCGGAAACTCGGCCCGGGATCGCCTTGGCGCTGAAGGAGCTCACGTCCAGCCACTTCTGCCTGAGCCCAACGGAGGCAAAAGAGACCAGCGAATGTTTGGTCGTTGGTTTTGGTGCGTGCTGGTGTTGTGTGGGGCGCTTCTTGTGAGTGTGTTGAAGTGTTGTTGCATGTTCTGTTTGTGTGTTGCGGTGTGTTGTTCTTGTGTTTGGTGGTTTGGTGTTGGTTGTTTTTGGTGCATTGGAGGGTCTCAAGATGAATCCCCCCGTACAATCCCCCTTTTGGCTGCCATGTTTTACTCAGTTGCTCTCCCCCCTTTCCCAGAAAATCCCCAAAAATGGCTTCCATGTTTTACTCAGTCAACGGCAACGGTGTCCGGTTTGTTTCCCTTTCAGCCTTTTGCTTTTTGTTGGTGGGCACCCTCCCTGGCGCCTGTCAGAAGATGACTTTGTTAGGTTCCGTGTTAATCCGGTACACACACAATCACACACACACACACACAAGCAAATCTCAAGTCCAAAGATCCAAAACCGACTTTAAAAGGCCATGGACGGGATTGCCCTGTCGACTTGACCCCTTGCATCTCTGTGAGCTCCAGCAGCTCCCCGACACTGTGTCACTTCTCTCCCAGCTGAACCACCAGAACTTGCTGTGATTAAAACTGGGGCCTGTCGCGTATGTGCGATCATCCCATCTTGAAGCAAAACTCCAGAAATGAAACCCCCAACCCCCCCCCCCCCCTGTCCGGAAACCCCAACCCCCCAACCCCAACCCCAACCCCAACCCCCCAACCTCCCACCCTCCAGCGCCCCCCCTCTGCCCGCCTCAACGCCAAATCCAACGCCTTCAAACACGCCTCCACGGACAGCTGCCCCCGTGGGGGCGGGCGCCGCACCGAAGCCCACGAGTGCGGCCTCAATGGGACGTCAGGTACCCTTAGATTGTTGGCTTGGATGGGTGGTTTGGGATTTGGATCTTTGGTTCTTATAGAGGGTACATTGGAAACCGCTCCCCAAAGCTTCCATTTACATTGAACTTAGGGAACTTTAGCGCTACTCCAAGTTGCCAAGCGGCTGAAGCGAAAAGCAGCCCCCTTTCAATCAGCGTTTCTCCCGCTCCAAAATCCAGGCACTTTCATAGACCCGGTCATGGGAACCCCGGATCAAGCAGAGCCCCCGGGTAGACGAACAGGGGGGTGTCCGCTTCTAGTGAGGGTTCAGACCACTTTTGGAGGGGAACAACCCGTATTTATATATATATGGTCACCCCCCCCCCAGGGCCTACCTTTCTACTTTTTGCATGAAAGATATTTTTTGCAGATGTTCAGTGTCCACTTGGTTTGCAGATGCCTTGCAGAAAAGCACTGTAATTTACGGTGTTTTTGTGCAATTTTTGATATTGTCTCAGATGTGCTTTCTGTACTTGATGCAAAACAGGATTCGAGAAAGCAACAAACACGAAAACGGAAAGCGTTTTCAGATGCAACTTTGTCAGTGTGAAATCACTGTTATTTGCAGTGTTTTTAAAGGAAACTGCAAAACAACACCTTTTTTACGTTTCATGGTTTCAGCCTCAAAACCTGCACAGGCTCAAAAAATGCAAAAAATCCAAACCTGGAAGCTCCAAAACCTGCACAGGCTCAAAAAATGCAAAAATGCAAAACCCAGATGCAATGTCAGAGGTCAGGGCTTGATTGGTCTGGATTTTTGCATTTTTTGCATTTGTTTGAGCCTGTGCAGGTTTTGGAGCCTTGGATGTTTAAAACCTGCACAGGCTCAAAAAATGCAAAAAATCCAAACCTGGAAGCTCCAAAACCTGCACAGGCTCAAAAAACGCAAAAAATGCAAAACCCAGATGCAAGTCAGAGGTCAGAGCTTGATTGGTCTGGAGTTTTGCATTTTTTGCATTTTTTGAGCCTGTGCAGGTTTTGAGGCCTGGTTTGGATTTTTTGCATTGTTTTGAGCCTGTGCAGGTTTTGAGGCTTCCTGGTTGGATTTTTGCATTTTTTGCATTTGTTTGAGCCTGTGCAGGTTTTGGAGCCTTGGGTGCTTAAAACCTGCACAGGCTCAAACAAATGCAAAAAAACAAACCTGGAAGCTCCAAAACCTGCACAGGCTCAAAAAATACAAAAAATGCAAAACCCAGATGCAAGTCAGAGGTCAGAGCTTGATTGGTCTGGATTTTTGCATTTTTTGCATTTTTTGAGCCTGTGCAGGTTTTGAGGCTTCCTGGTTTGCATTTTTTGCATTTATTTGAGCCTGTGCAGGTTTTGGAGCCTTGGGTGCTTAAAACCTGCACAGGCTCAAAAAAATGCAAAAAATCCAAACCAGGAAGCTCCAAAACCTGCACAGGCTCCAAAAAAATGCAACAAATGCAAAACCCAGATGCAAGTCAGAGGTCAGGGCTTGATTGGTCTGGATTTTTGCATTTTCTGCATTTTTTTGAGCCTGTGGCCAGCTTTGATGCCATTGAGAAACCAAGCCATTGAGGTAATGAGTGCTCTACTGATAAATCAGATGCTTACAGGACACGATATAACAGTGCAGCAGTGATGACACACCCACACACAATCATCAACCTTTTAGGACCACATGCCCAAACCACATCAAACAAGGCCTCAAATGAGTGTCCTTTTTTTCCCCAACAACAGTCTCCACTTGCTACGCAATAAGCCTACAGAAGGTTTATAAACTTTCAGGAAAGTTTATAAACCTTATTGAGTGTTTGACGAGTTTCCCGCGTCAAGGCAACAACACCCTACGAAGTGTTCATGGTATCGTTGAAGGAGGGGGGGGGGGGGTGGTTGGGGGGGGGTTGGTTGGAAGTCTTAGCAGTGAGGTGTGACTCAGCCAACTTTGTAAAGACTTCTCAGTACCCCCCCCCCTGCCCTTGTTGCAAGGAAACCGTCAAACCCTTGACATGGTTTATAAACTGTCTTGAAAGTTTATAAACTCCTTGCTGTTGTTACTCAACATGACTTGTCAGCCACAAAAAAATATGCAGCAACAGCACACTTCTTGCGTATATATGCTCACACCCCCTGTCCTTAAAAATAAGAGGGTTTTGTACATTTTGAAGTGGAAAGGTAGGCCCTGGGGGGGGGGGTGAGCATATATTTATATGAGGGTGGGGTTGCTTTTGCGGTTTGGGCATGCCTGGCCTTGCTGCGGAAACGGCTTAGGGTTTCAAGTCTTCTTTTCCGGCTTGGCACGAGTGGTCTTGCTGTGAATAGAGCTTGGGCTTGGGGCTTGGGGCGGGTCTGCCTTTACAGTTTGGACATGCGTGTGCTGAAAGGCCTTGGGTTTCAGGTGTTTGTCTTCCGGCTTCCTCTGGGGTCATTGGTTGCTCGGTTTTTGGGGTTGGCTGAGGGAAACCGAGGGTTGGCTGAGGGAAACCGAGGGGACACCAACTTGTCTTGGCCCTTGCGGCCGGCGTCCGTGGAGCCATCTGCGGGCGCCACTATAGGTACGATCATTTACTGTAAAGGGGGAAATTTTGGGGTACGCCCGCCAAATTGCCAGTAGGAAATTGACGAGGAAAAGGGCCGAAAAGGAGCTCCTTCTACATGGAAAGCGAGGAAAACGAGGCTTGCCAACAGTGATGCAGAGTCACGTCTGCCCAACAAGCCGGCAGAACCACAGAAATGGAAGCCGGAGGTTCCCGTGGAAGAGACAGACGTGACTTTGCGAGACATGGTTGCTGCCTTTTGCTGAATCCCAATGAGACAAACTATCCAACCCCAGCCCCCGAACCCTCCAAACAGGTACCTTCGTGGTGTGCTGCGGGGTCGCAGATCCGTAGATGTTTGGAGGGGAAAATGCAAAGGTCTCTCCTCCAAATGCTGCCGCCCCCCAAAAGGCGCAACCCGGGCAGCGCATTGGCGTCCCTTCCAAACCAGCCCGCGACAGGGCGCCGATCGCCGCTGAGGCGTTTCCCTGGGCCCGGGCCTAGCCCGCGGAGTTGCGCGGGGGCCTCGAGGAATTGCCCGGTCTCGGAGACCACTTGGCCACCAAGGCCACGTTAAAGTTCGGGTTCGGGCGGATTCTCATGCAGTCCCCTTGTGCGCCCCGCCTGAAGCCGCCAGAAACGGGCAGGTCCAATTTCAGCTCGCCCTTCCTCAGATTTGCCCAGCCGACTCCGTGTGAAAGACCAATGTGCAACTTGCCTGCCTTTCACCAGCTGATCATTTAGCCCATGCAAACAGCTTCCCTCAAAAAGAATCGGTGGTTTGGTGTTCCGGGGTAGTTTCCCATGTACCGTCGACAAGAACTAGGGCTTCGCGTCCAAATCCAAACCATCATCCCAAACCACCAAGCAAGGGGTACCTGCCATGCCGCGTGATCAATGCAGGATACTGGCAACATCTTCGCGATGCAAGCAGCATCAAGATGAGACCGACACACAACCCTGAAACGGTTGAAGCAAGTAGGCACGACACAAGTTGCTAGAACCGGCAGACAACTGAAGCAAGGACAAGCTGATGAACATGCCGTGGGCAAGCAAACCTGATTTCGTGTTGAATCGTTACACTCACCGGAGTCCCTCGGCAGGCTGACCAACTGGTAAATCAACTTATGTATGCACGAAACAAATAGAAAGCAACATTCGATGCGCAAGAAAAGTGAAGATAAACACAGTAGTTTGACCAAGCCACAGCCGAGAGGCGCCAAGAAACTAGGAAACAACTCGTCGCACTTAACCAGCCGACAGGCTGCAAAAGCCCGCACGGCATCAAACTGTCACGGACAATATTGTGTGTGTGTGTTTTTTCTTATCTACTCGATTGGAAACCCAAAAGCGTCCACAAAGAATCTGGCAGGCCAACAAACTGAGACAAACGAGCTCACAAGCACAACCACCCGGCAACCAGGAAGCTGCAAAGCAGCGAGTTTTGCAACTCTGGTAGCCAAAAGGCTTGTGAGAGACAGAGAGAGAGAATGGACCTGTTCATCTCCCCAAGCTGGCACGCAAGCATCTGGCAGCCAGCAGCTGCAAGACAACAAATGAACTTGTCGTTGTCGCATTTTCCCGGGAAGCCACGGACAAACGAATTCATTTATTCTTTCACCAAGTTTGGAGTCATGCATGTTTGATTATCAAGTCCTCTACCCGGACAATGGGAGAGAACGCTGCCCCCCTTGAATGTTGAACCCACTGATTAAAGCAACAACCATGGCTATGACTGGGGAAACTGGGCTTGGCACCCTCATCATGCTCACACCCCACCCAGGCACCTCCCAGCGCCTCTTGCGGAGCAAGCCTCATTAGGAGCGGGTAGGCAAAGGTGCAGAGGGCAGAGAAAGCCCGGTGCGAGTCAAACTGCTGACCCACCGGCGCGATGACCGCAACCTTTTTGTGGACCTCAGGGTCCAAAACGCAAACGTCAGAGGCCCTCCCACCGAGTAACGCATGGAACCGTTCGACGTTTGGGGGGTCCTGGTTTGGACCATGTTACTTTTAAAGGGACCATGTCTATGATTCCCCCCACAAACCCAAATAGATGTGGGCCCTGTCAAGCTCTCCATCCTCCAAAGACAGGAGCCTAGCAAATTCATCTGTTTTTCTGCTTTTCTGCATGAGATTGGTATGTTCAACAACAAGAAGCTTTAAGGTTTAAAGCGTAGACGCGCTTTTTTTGCATGTTGCAACTCGCTGTCCCTTACGTGCGCCTGCAAGAGGCCGCTATGTGCATCCTGTGTTCCTTTCGCAACGAAGCTGGCATGGCCCGGAGAGGGGCAGGCCAGAGAGTGCTTCACCACTGGGATGCCAAGTTCCCGCACTTGAGGCAGAGCTTTGCGTGGGCCGCCGGGTTAGACGAGGGCCAACCAAAAAATGAAGCGTAAAACTGCAAAATAAAGTCAAGTGCGCCGTGCACGCACGACGGCCTTCGCGGCAGTTCTAGGAAGGGGCTCTAAAAGAAGAATGACCTGAACACACGCAAAGCAAACACGGAGTTTGCGACCCTCTAAATAAAAAACCGCTTCCCCCCCCAAAAAAAAAAAAACAAAAAACGAGAAAAAAAGGGAGAAAAGACGCCGAGCTCGCTTTGGACAACTTCTTTGTAGGAATTAGGAGCCTGGCCTGAAGCTTCTCGTCGATGAGGCGGCAGGCCTCGACAATTTGGTCCAAGGACGGGGGGCCATCGTCGTAGTAGTAGCCTCGACTCGAGTCGAGGGGGGGGAGCGAGCGAGCGCAGCGCGCCGTTCATTGGAACATGTGGGGGTTGATCAAGGTCCGTGATACATGGGGTGACCATTGGAAACCACTAAAAAGATGTGATATGTCCCATTCACATTCCCACTAAATGGGAGAAGTGACCCATGGTCAGTAAAGGCTGGACGGAATACTGATCAACCCCCATGTGCGTAATGCAGGAATCACATTAGAGGTCAAAACGGATTTCTATGGAGAAAACAAGTGACGAAACTGGCTGCTTTCGGGTTTTCGGTCGTGGCAGGTTACTGTCAGGCGGGAGGCGGGCGCCAAGACCCAGACCACTGACTCACTTTGGGCTCTTGAAAATCAGGCCAAGGCCACTGACTCGGAACGCCCGCACCAAGAAAGGCTTGAGCCACCTGTCGGTTGCCAATCAGGCCTTCATCAAGACCGGCCCTCCACACGCCCGGCTTCGGCTTGGCATCCGTTTTGCAACGGCCCTTGTTTGAAGCTCAGCTCCCTTTTTGGTGTTGTTTTCAATGGGGACCAAAGGGCCGCATTGTGAGACCCACCCATGTGGCACATGCAAGTTCGTACCAGGGCCTAAGCCATTAGAACTTACAACCACCACTCTTTGATGCTGCCATGGCCATAAGATGATGGTTGCATACGCCCGCCCCGTGCTAATATAGTTATGATTTATTTCGGGCAACAGTCTCTATGTCTGTGGCTTTGAACACGCCCCGAAAAGCATGTGACAAACCATGTTTCCCCCTATGTGGTGAACTATGTTGTAACTCTTGTCAAGGCGCATGCAAGAGGGTACACATATTAGGATTGTGAGCGTTGGCTACCTTTGCGCTCTCAACGCCGATCAGCAGGCTGCAAATGCAATGCGTACAGTAATAGTGTCCAAACCCAGATTGTGTGTGTGTGTGCGTGTGCAGGTAACACTATATACTATCAACGACACTGCAGCCTTGTGAAGTTGTTGCGCTTGTGTTTCAACAGAAGGTTCGTGAAAGGCTGATGGGCCAGGTGCACGTGGTCAAGCGGTGGCGTAAGCAACGATGAACCACAAACACAGGCAACCAACCAGCTAACCAACCACCCAACCAACCAACCAACCAACCAACCAAACAAAGGAAAGAAAGAGGCAAATGAGAACACAAATTGACACAAAGAAACACTCAAAGAAGCATTCAAGCAAGCAAGCAGCAACCAAGGAAGCAAGCAGGCAAGCAATCAATCAAGCAAACAACCAAACAACACATGCATGTGGAAAATTTGAAGCCTGTGATGTTGACAAGCTTGTACTTGTAATCAACCGTGCAACCTCGCCAACTTGAACTGACAATGTGCATTCAGGGTGGCAGAGTGTATGCAAATGAACGGTCAGGAACGGTTCAGCGCGCGGCAGTGCATGTGCCACTGAACGGTCAGGTACGGTTCAGTGATAACGGTCCAAGCTGAACGGTTCAGAACGGTTCAGAACTATAAAGGGGTTTGGGGATTCACCTTTGCTGAACGGTTCCTGACGGTTCAGCGATACCATGGCACACCTTCACAACATTAAACTTGGCGCGGCTTTATCCTTCAGGCGCTAACCCAGCTTTTCCCTCCAGGTATGGAACTAAAGGCGCAGAGAGAAGACCTGCACTTTGTATAAGTATTTGTGTACAGGATGTAGGTGTGAAAATATGTATGCGTGCTTCTGTGTTTACATATCCTACCTCTCTGGCACGGGCAAAGTAGCGCCACAGGCAGAAAGGCGCGTGTGTGGCAGCAGTTCCCCTACTGCTACAACTGCTCACGCTCAAGAATAGTCACGAGTTGCTATAGCTTGTTAACAACATGGCGCAGCCCCAATTATGGCTCCACAAGCTATCTACTTTATGAGAACTTAGGATTGTCCGAAGGCAGAAGTGAGCGTGGCTCGAAGGAGCCGTTCATGGCACCAGTGTCAGGCTGACAAGTGATGCGCGCGTGGGTGCTTTGAAACTTCCAGATTGCTTTGGCCCGGCAGGGCTGAGGATTTCCACCTGTATGCCGTAAGTTAATTCCAATTCACGAATCTGCACCGGCAAACCGTTCTGAACCGTTCTGAACCGTTCAGTGGGCCACATTTGAGTGGAAACTACAACGTAAGGAAGTGTCGAAGGTCATGAGACAGGAGTTTGGCATCCTTTAGCACGAACTGTCAAGAATCGACAATTCCAACGGCAAAGCCGTACAATCAGCCATTGAAGGACCTTTAATTTACCCAACCCATAGCTAGAGCCTGCTTGTGTAGGTATGTTTGCTGCCGCCCGCTGGTGTCGAGATTTCTCCCACTTTGCCCCAGACTTTGAACCTAAAACCCCGCCGACTGCTAAACTCGTAAACTTGTTTTGCTCCGAATCCAAGTTCAAGTGCAACACCCTTGGAATGCACAATCCACGGCGACTTACATTCTGTTCAAACCAAATATGTGCCTTCACCTTCGCTTTGCTGTCCTCATTGCTTACCACCAGAAGACACAGTCTCGCGAGGAAATTAAACGGTCACTATATGGGTTCATTGTGATAGATACTGCCTCTAAAACAGCAATTCGAAGCTGTTTTGGTCTAGCAACATCGTTGTTAAGCGTCTATGGGTGAGGCCTGCTGGTCACGCAGTGGAATCTTGAGCTTGGGAGGTCTACGGACATAGCCAGTGACTTCTGCCAGCGGCTAATGTTGTGTGTTCAGATTGCTTGTAGCAGGGGCGTTCAACACAGCCACGACGCGAGTGTGATAGCAGCATGCGATGTGCCACAAGCAGTATGAAATGGGCAAAAGCATTTTCAAATTTGAGGACATCAAAACAGCTGAGGAAGTCGTCTCATCAGCGTCATCAGGGCCTGGCGATTTGGTGAGATGTTCGCAAGAAATTAGTAGGATCAGGTGCGCAGCAAGCATTTAACAGAGACAAACAGAAGTCTCGCTTGGCCATATGTCCTGTTAAAGCGACTCAAGGTGGGCGTGCGGTAACAACGCATCTTGCCAACACAACTTCAAAGCAACATTGGCAGCTTTCATCAACACATAGACACTAGTAGAACCACGGTGCCTTCAAATGCCGCGCGCTGTGGTGCTCACTTACAGTTGAGCGTTTGAAGTCGTTTGGCGTTTTTTTGTCCAGCATAAATCTTGCCAAGGCTGGAAAGCACCACATTGAAGCGTAGTGCCATTACATTGCAGAAGGCATCATCAGCATCGGGCGCCACCCTGTTGCGAGTTCAGCCAGGGTTGTAACCCGGGGATTGCGAGTGATGGCTTGCCATCGTCTAGGCGTGGCAAGAGAGGCTTATATACGTGTCTGCCAAAGTCAGCGGTCATGTTAGAGCAGGACGCCATGGGTGGACTTGCAAAGAATAGGCTACAGTAGTTGTAACGATGTTAACATGGTTAACTACACCAGTTACAGCGGCGCATTGTGTTCCTACAGACATGATCACTTTGGACACGTTCTTTACATGACCCACTACATAAGTAGCTACGCAGCCCAAACGAAACACGTAGATTTGTTGACAGAAACCCTTCTGGATAGAGGGCGTGGCCCGAATTAAGTTATGATGTTTAATTCGGGACACCATGGTGGACATCATTTAGGTGGGGATTCATGTCCACCAACCCCAGTTTAGGGGGTCCAACCATTAAAATTCATATCTTCTTCCATTTGGTTATGACCCATGGAAAAGAATAGAAATATGTCCAGTAGTGACAAAATCCTTTTAAAACCAACAAATAAAAATAAAAATATTATTAAGCAAATGGAAGTCTTTCATATGGCCACGGGTCAAAAGCCCGTATCCCCAGTGAACATCCCAATTCCCACTAAAATAGGTTCTAAAATAGGTGGTGAATTCACCTACCAACCAAAATGGGATCCCATTGGCTTTGACCCACAGCCCTATTTCTTAGCAAACTAACCTACTACCCTTGCAACATATTTCCAGTAGTGATACATTCCTCTTAAAACCAACAAGGAAAAACAAAAAAAATAATCTTAAGCAAATGGAAGTTGTTGATCCCCTTCCGAGCAAGCCGCCCTCCGTCACGTAGTGGGGCACCTCGTACTTGCAGTGCCGCAGCCTGGGCTCGTTGAGCAGGCACAGGGCCTCGCACCCGTCGACAGCCTGGCGAGCGTCGTTGACAAGAAGAACGGGGGAACCCCGGATGAAACCCCTGCTTCATTCATAGACCCCGGATTACAGCCCCCCGCTTCCTTCATGGGAAAAGTCGCCTAGCCCCGGATTAAACCCCCTGCTTCATAGGAAAACGTCCCCTTTTAAACTTTAGTCTTGCAGCAAGAATAACGGGAACCCCGGATTAAAACCCCCTACGGGAAACCCGGAGTAAACCAACTGCTTCATTCATAGCAAAACGTCCCCTTTCAAATTTTAGTGCGAGCTTGCAGCAAGAATAAAGGGAACCCCGGATTAAAGCCCCCTGCTTCATTCATAGGAAAAAGCGGATTGAACCCTCTGCTTCATAGGAAAACGTCCCCAGCTAGTGGGGGGGTTACACCGGGTTCATGACTTCTTGAATTTCAGTGGGGGGTTACACCGGAGGAAACGACTGTTGGAAAGAACCCGGCTAGTAATAAATCCCTAGACGTGCTGCCCCACAGCGCCGGCAGAAAAGAACGCCAGCCGCGAAGCAGCTAGGACCCCGGGGAGCCTAGTGAAACGCCCCCTCCCTTCCACGTGCCTTTCGGTGGGACAACCGCGCGAGGGCAGCATGGTCCAACAAGTTTAAGACATGAGAGGCGAAGCCAAATAGCAACTTGTAAAAGGTGCAGCGACGTCCTCTTGCAAGGAGGGCCCTCTGTTCCCCCTGGGCTGGTTTTCAACTTAACCTCCTGCAAAACATAGGCCAGTGCTTTGTTGAATGCGGAAGCCTAATACCATACTTGTTGTCAAAGAAAAAAGTCAAACCCAAGAGGCACGTCCCTTGCGGGAACTTTAAGCTACGGGTGCTCCGTATCTCTGGATGGCAGAGAAACCCTCTTTGGTCCTCTATGGGGTGTCGAGCAACGGTCCATTTGAAGGAGGGAAAGGCCTTTTCTCAATCGCCAAAACCCCGGCTACAAACAAAGCTTGATAGCGCAAAGGCCCCCGCACACCGAAACCCTCCGCACAAATGTGAGGAAGGATGTCTTTCACCAACAAAACCAACACCGCAAGGAGAAAAACGGGTCCATGCCAGAAAAAGGCATGAAGCAGCAGCCTTCGAACGACTTGCTGCTGATCAGCTGCCGGCGACCCAGCCCCCTGGGCCTGGCTCTCCTGCGCCGCGACCTTCCATAGCCCGTCCTCGCCCTTCTCGCACTCCACCTGGAGCAGGTCGATGGCGGTTGACAGTACCAGTACCATTTGGTCCACACGGAGCCCTATGGTTGGAACTTCTGTGGAGTTGCTATGGCTTTCCCTCCCACCAAAACTCACATGGAATTCGGGAAATGCCCCCTTTGAAAGGAGAATGGTCCAAACCAGGACCCCCCGAACGGGCTCCATGTTAAGCTTGGCGGGAGACATTTGGAAACAAGCCCGCCTGGTCTGTCCACAACAGCTCCTCCCCATACACGCTCACCAAAGAAGCCGGCATGGCAATGAGTCTGACCGCCCACGCGCCGCCGCGCACCAAAAAGCAGGCGACCAACAGGAGCCCCCCGTTCTTCACGGAGAGCTGGAGCAGGCTTGGCGCGGGCAGAAAGTCGTAGACGGCACTGCCACATGCAAAATCTGAAGTGAACACATCGCCAAAGATTGCCGGGTTTGTTTCGCTGGGGGAAGGGGATGCCACCCTGCCCCGGGAGGGCCGGAACTGAAAACAAGGATGGCAGCAATACTGTGGATGGACGAAATCCTGCACCACTTTGAAACCATGGGAAACCATTCTGTACCGCATGGTATTTGCAGGAGAATCATCATTCTTTGGTTACTTGGGTGGTGCGAAATGGATTTCGTCCATCCACATGGTCAACGCCAGGCGTTTTTGCGGCTGACCAACCTACTTCCACCAAGCACGCTCAGCTCCATTCAGGCATGGCAGACTAACCCCCCCCCACCTTCCACGCCCCCAGACCGCACGACCACACCACCACACCGCCGCCTCTCGGGGAGCCGGGAATGGCACGTCACCGGCACGCCTCGCAGTTCGTTGCAGGTGCGGTTCAATACAGGTGGAGTCTAAAACTCTAGGTTTGCACCTGGAACCTTGTGGGTACACCCAAAGAATGCTCAATCCCCGGTGGTTCATGGTTGACACAGGGCAAGGGTCAGCGAATCAGCTGGGCTCATCTTCGCTCCATCTAGGCGCCAGGCATCTAATTCAATCGCTCGGCTCATCACCCTGGGAAGTGGCTTGAGTGCACGAATTGTAAGCGAGGCAACCAATAAGAAAAAGTGAAATGTGGAGAAATCCCATCAACTCCAACCTTGCAAATGCTCCAAAAGTGGTCCCGTGCCATGCAGCATGATCTGCTTCTCGCAAGACCAAGAGCTGCCTGCAAGCTAGACAGACTTGCCCTGTCGAAGCAACCGGATAAATCAGAATACCATGAGCCTCACCACTTGGTGGCTGATGCCCCCGGCGCAAAGGGTGAAACATCCTCCCACCCCAGCAGGCTTGCAGCCAGGCTTCTGGAAGCACGGGATAGCGCGGTGCACGGTACATTTGGACTTCAGAAACAACCCCCCTTGAACCAAGCCACGCAGGCGAAAGCGTCAAACCGGCCAATGAAGCATGACTCATCCGGGTGGGTGAACTGGGGGTTCATGGATGGCATGGATGGCATGCGTGCCCAAAAGGGACAACTCAAAGGGCAAGTGGGCCAGTGGAGCCCTGACAAGGTAGCAAAAAGTGATGATTTCCGGCCTGCGAAGTCTTGGACAGGGGCGTTGGAGGCCAATCAAGCAGTCTTGTCGTTTCAATATTGAGCATTCTATCAGCGTTCTGGGAGAAAAGCATCAAGGACGACACCCCGCAGATGCAATGTAAGTCGTGGAGGGCGGGGGCCTTTCTAGCACTCAAATGGAGCCCAAAATAGGCGCCTTAGCCTACTTGAACCGAGGCTTGTGGCGGGGCTGGGCCGCTTCCTTCAACCCACGTGTCATGAGCGTTGGTTCAGGGGGCAAACGGCTGCAACGGCAGACAGGCGAAACGAGTGCTTGACCACTGCGGTCAACTCTTCCACTTTGATTTCATGGGAGCTTGCCGAGTGCGAAGCTCTGAGCCCAGCCAGAGAAGGTCCAAAGAAGCACCCGAAGCAGTCACGTCACGCATCTTCAAAAGCTCTCTTGTGAAGGGCTCATCCCTCACCACCACCACCACCACCGTTATCACCACCACCACCACCACCACCACCACCACCACCACCACCCACCAGGCAGTTGGCGTTTCAGGTTTCTTGGCCGCAAAGTCTTCGTTGGAACCCCCCCCCCCCCAAAACGCCCCTGAGCGCTCTTCGCGCGCGCGCGCGAGAGCGTCATTTTGCCCTCAGCCGCCCGGGTCCACGAAGCCCGGCTCCGGCAGCGCCGGCTGGTGCCGCCGGCCCTCGCTGTTGGACTCCTCACTCGATTTTGCTCCAAGCACTGGGCCGAAGGAAAAAAAAAAACGGACCGGGGAGAAAAAAGAAAAAACGGACCGAGAAGGAAAAAGAAAAAAAAACGGCAGGTTGATGTTGGCTCCCTTTTAAACCACCCAAAAAGGCTGTAGCTCAAAAAACCGGCACTAGAATGGAACCCTGGTAAGTGGAAACATGGGTGCCACAACCTGCGGTTTGCCCCTCCTGTGTAATTTTGAGCCACCAAAAGGTTTCCCCAAACACAAACGAGGCCAAAACGCGTCGCGTCGCTGGCTGAAGCGGCGGTTTTTTTTTTGCGCGCCTTGAAGGTCGGCAGCATGCCCGGCTCCTGGGCTTGCGGCGCCTGGCGACTTCAGCCAGCGAGGGGGTCGAGGGTTGGAGGGTTCGCGGGGGTTGGGGGGTTTTTTGGGTGGGGTTTGGGGGCGTGGGGGGGGGGGGGGTTGTGAAGGGTTTGTGGGGGTTTCTGGGGGTTTGTGAGGGGTTTGTGGGGGTTTCGGGGTTTGTGGGTGGGTTTGGGTGGGTTGGAGGGCCAAAGGGCCTCTTCGAAGTAGGCATGCTCCAAGGCGGCGTCCGCTGCCAAGCGCCTGGCTTTGGGCATCCGTGGCAAGACAACAAGGATTGTTGCATGTGAAGGCCCTTCTACCTGGATGGTCTGTAACCCTGCTTCTAGCCCACTTAGCATGGTTGTAAGTCCCCTATAACCAGGGTTACTATCAATCAAGCGCAAGACCATCTAAGTAGGTTCTGGGTTGGCACAAAAGTGGGCATGGAAACCAGTAAGCCCACTGAATCAGAACGGGAGGTTTCCCTTTGACTTCCCTTTTCAACCACCAAAAAAAAACTCAAAAAGGACACACATGAGCCCCGCGGATCGAACGTTTCCCAAACCCTCAGGCGGCCTTGCGGCATGGGAACTGCGATCCGGGCAGACCCGATTTGTTTTTTGTTTTTTTTGTTTTTTTCTGAGACTTGAAACCCATCCCACAACCCTGCTTGGGAAGGAACCTCCGTTTGGACTCAGCTTCCGGGAGGCGCCTTTCATTTGTTGTTCAGTGCTCCTCAGCTCAGAGCGGATCACCTGCCTTCAGATACATCAGCGCGCAAGGATGCGTAGGTCAGTTTCTAGCCGATATTTCTGCAATTGCCAGGCACGGTAGCCAGAGAAACCAGTACTCATCACTCATGAGTTGCTCTCAATAAACGCCTAAACATGATCAAGGCTGCCTGGTTCCCATTCGCCTCGGCCAAAATGGGCTCACCATTGGTTGGGGCCAACGCCCAAAAAACCAAACCCTGCGCAAGACCCTTGGAGGCCTCCACTGAGCCATTGAGCCACTGAACGCCCAGCCTCTCTGGGCAGCACTCCAGTAGTAACTGGAGCAAGTCCAAGCCCAAATCGGACAAGACCCCGTCTGCGGGGAACAGCCCGCGCCAACCTCGATGCGAATTCCACGGCTCGAAGCCCACTTTGGTCCAGACAAGAAAAACTTTGAGATTCTGGTCCTGGCTTGTCGCTTCAAGCAACCGTGTTTTGGGACCCGGATCTTTCTTATTCCTGCACCACCCCTTCCAAGCTAGCGCGAGATACACGAAAACTTTGCAGAGCCATGACCCAAGAAGGCCGAAGTCCGGCCCCGCGCTGAAGAATGAATCGCAACTGGAAAAACGCCCAGGCAAAGATGGAATGGACAACACACGAGTGCAGTGGAACTGTTCTTTTCGATGCTTCAGCGACAAGCTTAGAATCCCCAAGGCCAAAGGCCGGACAGCCCTCCAATGCCAGGAAGAAAATCCGCTTTGGACCCTTTGGAATCGAGAGGGCGCGGGACCCCTTTACGCGGACCCTGGACGGGTTCCCAAACTCACGTCAGCCCAAGGGGAGAACATGAGGAACATCCAGCAGGCAGAAACAAATTTGCAGCCCCCATAAAGTATCAGTGGACTAGTTGGAGCTTGTTGTCCTCCACACCAAGCTTGACCTTTCTGCGGATGAGTGAGAAAAAAGAGTGACATTGTCTCAAAGAGTTGCAGGCTAAAGATCCAACCAAATCGCAGTGCCAGTGCCCATTGGCCTAAACCTCCACCCCACCCCATCCCACCCCACCCCCCCCCCCCGCAAACTCCCTCACAACTCCCCCACCCCAAACCACCACTCCCCCAACCGCTCCCACTTCGGCTTCAAGGCCCCCGCTGGGCCACGACTCTTTGAGGCCCTCCGTGAGCTTCCAATTCGCCAGCCCCGTGCACCCGGGCCAGGAGTCCTGAACGCGCGCGGACCCGCGCGCGACGGGGAGGCGCAGGCGCGTCCCCGTCTTTTTGGAGCTGGCAACAAGAGGTGCGGTCAGGTTGAACAAATCCCATATGGGAATATGGAGGGGGGGGCGTCTTTGAGGGTACCCCTCTTTTTTGGGGCCTGGTCTTGAGGGGAAACCAAAAGGAGCTGCCACACCATATGGGGGGGGGGGGGTCGTTTTTGTTGTTTCTTGGAGTTGGTACCCTTTTCTAGTGTTTTTTCCCGGAGAACCAAGGCTGGACTTTGGATTTTCCACGTGGAGAGCAGTCTGGTGGACGTTGGCTGCTCTTTCTGCGTTGTGGATGGTCTCACGGTTGAGGAAGTGGTGGAAGCTTTGCCTTTCACCTGCACGGATGAGAGAGAGAGAGAGAGAGAGAGAGAGAGAGGGGGATGAATGCAAGAGAGTATTTGCGTGTTGGCTTCGTGCTTTAAGCTTGGAGGCATTGCTTGGCCAATGCAATCCGTTGAAAACTCAGCTTTGTCCATATTGATGGCAGAGCCCAGCACAGCAAACAAAACACGTCAATCCACCTTGCAACAGCCGAGGGAGAGAAAGAGATAGAGAGCGAGAGAGAGACGAGGGAGACCGAGAGAGAGAGAGAGAGAGAGAGAGAGAGAGAGAGAGAGAGAGCGAGATAGCGAGAGACCTTGAGCACGCCAAGCGCACCGGTTTTGGGGCGGGGGGGTCCAACTCCTTAAAAAAACATGCCCCACGGCGTGAAAAGGTGCGCTGTCACCATTTTCGTGGACACGCACGTGGGAGCAGCCGTGAAAAGAGAAGACATGTGGACAAATGATGCACTGATGCCTCAGAAGAGGTGCTCCGCAGCGTCCAACACACGCCATGGCACCACAACGGCCTTCTTTTTGGCAACCGAATACGATTATGGGGTGTCGCTTTCAAAGTCCATTCAACACCAGAACCTTTTCGAAAGCACTTACACGCTTGCAAAGAACATGGGAAGCATTTGCAACGCAAGCGCCATGTTCAATCGCCCATGGGGCTAGTCCCTGGTGTGCATCCCTCGCTGGGTCGGCTGGTGATGGCCACAAGCCCTGACTATGAAGACGTCTGAAGTTTTGGCGGCTGTGGATGTGCGTCGTGAGTGGTTCCATGACCTATGTTCAGGCCCTTTGTCACCTTCGCCATTGAGCTTGTCTGGGTGACCGGACGAAAGGCGACCGCCATTCTGGGATGGACGCTATCACATGCCCGAGTCCATGGACGGGTTCCATCACTTCGCAGCCACACATGTGCTTGACAGCCACATTGGCAGGATGGATGTTTGCGATGGGTCGGGCATTCCAGGCAAATCATCCTCAGCAATGCCCTGGCTATCCTTGATCAATCCCAGCTGATCCAGCAGTTCCAGCCAATCCATCGAAGCTCGAACGGCCGGAGTCAATCACTTCAAATCCAAGCCACACCGCGACCAGACAGAAAGCCAGAGCCGGTTTCCCCGCGCAATGGAGACCACCTGCCCAACAGAGCCATCTCTTTGCGATGTCCCCATGAAAGGCTCGCTTCTCTTTCCTTCTAACCCCCAACCCCCAGCCCGCAGCCCCCAAACCCCAACCCCAACTCAGCCCCCCCCCACCAGCCCCCACCCCGACACACTATATATCGGTTTGGTGGCATACCCGAGCAGCCGGCATCCAATTGCCAAGCTGACCCCACACCCAGTGAACCTGGTGGGAAAAAGCCCGGGTGCGTGTTTTTAAATGAAAGCCAACCCGCCTTCGCACCACCACACAGGCGGGTCCCCGATTTCGAGAGTCAGCCCCCCCCTCCTCGCTGGGGCGCCCGGTGAGGCCGAAGATCAGCCCCAGCTGATGAACTTCGGCTTTGCCCTCCGCTTCCGACGGCAATCGAAGAGATGCAGGGAGTGAGACATGGAATGAACCTGGCGATTCCCCTGAAACCATAGGGGATTATTTGTAGGGGTCAATCCCATTCAACCTTTCACTGCAATGGCAACATTTCATCCACATCATTCGTTTGGGGTCGTTCCCTCATCCCCTGAAGAGTTGGGGGCTGCTTCCCCCCTTGGTGCTGGGAAAGCCAGCTGGAGATGTGTGGTTTGATGTGATTAGCTCGTGATGGTGCTCTTTGAACGGAAGCCGTTTGGAAGCAACGCCCCAGTTCAAGCAGCCAGCCAAGAAACTGTTGAGCGTGGGAAACACTCGAAGGCGTGCTGGAGTATGTGCAGCCAGGGCCGAAATGAAGGTGTGAATATTCGGAGCCAGTGGGCTTCACCACCGTCTTGTACCAGCGATACCGCCACAATCGCATGGTGACCAAGTCACCATGCGATCCCTTCGCTACCATGGTTTCAACTTTTGGCCATCCAGCCAGTTCAGGTTTCAAGGGCACTCTTGCCGCTTCGGGGCACAGACTTGCCACCCGTCGATTCTCTCAAACTGCCTGGATGTACCCTCACAGAATCGCTCCACAGAAACTGGGCGTCTTCTGTTAGCAGGCCTCCCGCCGCTACCCACCCCACCCACCCCACCCATCCCACCCACCCAATGGCAGTTGTCCTCTTGGTGTCCCTTACTTACAAACCACCAAAAACGGGGGGGTTCGAAGCAACCCCCCCAAAAAAAGGGCACACCCAACAGACTCCAACCCCCCCCCCTCGGTCCCATCTCCCGGCCTCAAACACCGGCCTCCCCAGCAGCAGCTCTGCAAACACGCAGCCCCCGCTCCAAATGTCGATCAGATTCGTGTACGTCCTATCCCAAACCCAAAAGAAAAACGAACATTTCAAAACAGGGGGGATTTGCACCCAACAAGCTTGCCACCTTCCTTGCGGCGTCCCTCTAAAGTAAAAAAAGGGTGCCCTCTGTCTAAAAAAATAAATAAAAATAAAATAAAAAAAAGTGTCAAAAACTTCCCAGTTCACCCAGAAGGTAAATAAAACGAAAGAGAGGTCCGGGAGGTCAGCGGTGAACAGGCCGCCACTGGCCGGGAGGACAAGGCAACATAGGGAGTCCTTGGTAAGCTCCAGCCAGAATTTTGCGGGGGGGACGTGAGTCCATTGCATCGTTGACCAGGCACTTTGGCTGCAGATGCTGCAGGTTGAATCGCTGACACGCCAAGCAGTGGAGGGGGTCCCCACAACCCAAGAAGGGTGCTTGAAATCCGGAACCTTCGAAGGGCTCGAGAACCATTCGGTTGGCTGGGCTCTGAGTAGCCAGTGCCATGCCGGGCCGGGCGGCTTCGTCCCGGAACCCAACCCGCGTCCTGAGCCCAAGCAGAAGCTCGGGCGCTCGGTACCACAAGGACTGCACCTCGCACGCTGAAGGCGTTTGGGTGTTTCCGAGGATGAGACGCCCCTTTTCAGTTGGCTGTTGCCGCCAGAAGGAAACAGCGGTGAACCTGCCAGTCTCCTGGTCGGCAAACTTCAGGAAACTTGGGCATGGCTCATGGTGAACAAGGGCCATGAATGTTTCCCACACAGCAGCCCCAATCCTGAGCCCCACTGGTCACAATAAAAAGAACAGGTCACAACCCCTTTCCTTTGCAGATCATGCACAGCATGTTGCCGAAGCCCATGTCGACTCTTAACTCTTTCGCCCGGTCGGTGTCCTTCGCTTTGTCTGAGGTTCACCAACTGTGACTACGGTTTTTTTTTGGTTGTGTTTTTTCCGATTGGACGATTTGGCGGATGGCTCCCCCATTGAAATCGGCCAGGGCCCCGGAAAAATTCAGAAGCTGTCCGTTCACCAGGGCTTGGACCCCCCACCGTCAATCACCCTGCGGGAAAGTAAAACTGTGCTTTCTTTTTCTGGCGGTTGAGCATCGGCTGCCCAAATCTCACACGGAAAACCCAAGGGAAACTCAAGGAAACCGAGCCAAGGAAAACCAAGCCAACGCCCCGTTTCTGCACCATTCCATCGGGCGCCCGCACTCGCTGAGTGTATGGCCTCAACGGCCTCGGAGCGTGCGCGAGGTGCGAGGGCACGAGTTGCGCTTTTTGTTTTGGCGCGAAAAGTGACGTCCAGACGTGGCGCTGGAAGCTGTCGATATGAGATGGGCGCTCAAAAATAGGCGTCCAAAATGGAGCGCGAGCAAAGGGAAGACTACAACCTGCGAAACCCCAGCTGTTAAAGTTTTGAGCCACACCTAGATCCATGGATAATTGCGAAGTCCGCTTCGCACCAAGAATCCCCACGGAATGATTTGAGTCCCCTGTAAATACCAACAAAGAATGGCTTCCCATTGCTTTGGTGGCGTATGATTTTGTCCATCCACAGTGCCTCCAAAACCCATGCCTGGAAATGCTCTCGACTTTAAGTTGCAACCGTGAAGGGAAGGCGATTTGCCCCAGTGACAAACATGAATACAAGCCTGGCTCCGGAGTTGGGGGTCCCGCTTAATTTTAGAAACCAGCCACCGGAATGTCTAAAATGATCCAAAAGCATGCTGGCTTGTTAGACTTTAGCAGGACGAGTGGTGTTGGTTGGCTTGGTTTTGCCTGGTTCACATTCTTTTGAGTTGCGCAAAGCTGGCTCGCCCCTGGTTTGGTTGTGTGCAGGTTTCGCTGCGCGCGGAGGATCGCGGCTATGAATTCCATCAGCACAAGGGCTCGTGGCTGAGCACCTAACCACTCCAAGCCGGTCTGAACCTTACGTCAGGTTGCGTTTCTGAACTCCCGAAATAACAAAGCAGAGCAAGTGAAATCCACGACTTGCTGCGTCTGGCCTCGTCATATCCAAATCTATGCGCACATGGTGTCTCATGGCATTTGAACTGGAACACTTCCACTTGCTCTCCCAGCTACAGCATGTGGCATGCTCTAAGAACTAGATATTGGGCCGAGCCTCCCAAGCCTTGAGCTGCAACAGCCCCGGTAGACTCCCACATGTTCGGCTCGAGCCTTATTTTGTTCTTAGAGCTTGTCACGTCACGAGCGCGAAATTTCAGGATCTGCAAGCAGCTTGGTAAATTGACTCTCTCCAGGCTTTGGTCGAAGTCGAAGCCGAAAGTCAGTCTTTGCAAGTGTTTGGCAGAGTCACTGCCTCCAAACTTTGGTTAAAGCGAACGCCCAACTGATAGGTGCAAGTGCCCACCTGACACGGGTTTGGGCACTGGTGGGGTGACAAACCCTATGTAGCGAGCAGGAGGAAACCTCCGCAGGTCGTCAAAGTGATTGCCCAAAGCCAGGTGCTGCAAATTGCCAGGCAGAGTGACTTCCTGCAAGCTATGGTCAAAGCCATCGCCGAGATCCAGGCTCCGCAGGCTGCTCAGAACAACTCTCTCCAAGCTGTGGTTGAAGCGAAAGCCGATTGGTGGGTGAAAGTGCCAACCTGTCTCGGGTTGAGGCACTGAAGCGAAAGCCGAAAGCAAGACTCTGCAAGCTGCTCGGCAGAGAGACCCCCTCCAGACTTTTCTTGAAACTGGCGCCAACACTCAGGTTCTGCAATGTTCCGGAGAAAGCAACTCCCTCTAAGCTGCTGTTGAAGCTCAAGCCCATAGTGAGGCTTTTCAAGCTGCTGGGCAGCCTCATGTGTTCAAGACTCTGGTTGAAGAAGTAGCCGAAAGTCACGCTCTGCAAGCTGTTTGGCAGGTTGACACGCTCCAGACTTTGGTTGAATTTTGCCGCTGAAGGTTAGGCTCTGCAAGTTGCTGGGAAGAGTAACTCTCTGCAATCTTTGGTTGAAGTCGCCGCTACCATGCTTCGCAAGCTTCTGGGCATAGTGGTTGCATGAGCTTCACCCACGACATCGATGAAGCAGTGGCCGAAAGCCAAGAGCTGCAAGCTGCCGGGCAAAGCGACTCCTTCCTTAAGCTTTTGTTGATAGGTGCAAGTGCCAACCTGACACGGGTTTGGGCACTGGTGGGGTGACAACCCCGATATAGTGAGGGGGAAACCTCCAGGTCAAGCTTCTCAGGCTGCTGGGAAGAATGGTTCCCTTCAAGCTTTGGCTGTCGCCAAAGCTCATCTGCAGGTTCGGCGGCCTCACTCTCTTCAGGCTTCGGTTGAAGGTGTTGCCAAAGGTCCAGTTCTGGCCGCTGAGCAGCGTGACTCCCCGCCTGTCGTTGAAGCTGAAGCCCAGCGTCAAGCTCTGCAAGCTGCAGGGCAAACGCGCCCCCTCCAGATTGTGAACAAAGTACTTTCCAACCGTCAGGGCCTGCAAGGAGCTGCAGAGATCAATTGCCTTCAAGCTCTGCTTGAATTTGTCCTGCAAAGTCAGGTGTTGCAGGCTGCTGCAAGGCTCTCGGCAGAGCGACGCCATTCAAGCCTTGATTGAACGCGGTTCCAATTGGCGGGTGAAAGTGCCAACCTGTCGCGGGTTGAGGCACTGGTCGCGTTCCAACAGTCAGGCTCTGCAAGCTGCTAGGAAACTTCACTCCCTGCAGGCGTTCGTTGAATGGGTCGCCCAAGACCAAGCTTTGCAAGCATAGGTGTCCTTATTGGGAAAATAGATGGCCCTCGTCAATGGAACAACACCAAAACCAGTGCCATCTATTTCTAACCCAAATAACCTAAAACAGGACACCTATGTTTGCAAGGTGTCTGGCAAGTCTTGTAGCAGTGGAAGCATGCATCTTAACGGCTGCCAGCGCATCTCTGTGATTCCGTCCAGTGCATGTTTGGCCTCGGCATCGCTTACACCCAGATTGGCGTCCTGCAGCGCGTGCCACGCCTCGAGCAGATTGGCGCGGGTATAAGTGAAGGTTCCGGAGAGCGTCTCCAAGCCTCGCCCATGCAACCTGCAGCGCGCAAGTGGTTTGCTTCGCTGAGTGGGGCATGCTTCATCTTGAAAGGGGTTCAGGCTCGTTGGGGTTGCCTCCAACTGGGAGAACTGCAAATGGTCCCTTTAAAACAACCCAGGTAGCCTCAAATGAAAGGTCCAGGTAGCCGCATACTAAAACAGGGCCAACCCATTTCGTTGTGTTTTCAACAGGCCGTCAAGCAACGTCTGGTTCAGCGCCAGTTCTGGTTGCCGAGCCACAGGCTGAGAACACCCCCAGGCCTTGGCGGCAGCTGAGACTTTACGAGGTGCAGCAACTCCTCAGATCGAGTGGCGGCAGCTCTTCTCACTTTAGCCTCTTGGAACCTTGGCTAAGCAGTAATGTTGACCCCATATTAATCAACCCCAGTTTATTAATAGGAGGGTGTCCCTGGGTTTTGTGGGGAATCATCACTTTTGGAAGGGAACAACCCTCGATAAATAAACTGGGGTTGGTTAATATGGGGTCAACATTAGATCGGGAAAAAAAAGGTCAGAATGCCCATTCGCAACGGACAAGTGAGTTTGGGTTGCCTGACTCTTAGTTACTTGGCATGGCTCAGTCAAGACGAGAAAAGCGGCGAACACATGACTCAACCAAAAAGTTGCGCATCTTATCTTCAACAAGACATCAGAAACAGAAATACCATTTAAGCAGCGACATTCATGCGATAAACGCCGCCAGTACCATTTGGGGTGGTTCGAAGTGCGTTTCCTGCTAGTCTCGCTCATTTCGCCAGAAATGGGGGGCCCCAAAAACAGTAATCACGACAAACCCGCAGAGTAACCACGACTAAGTCGCGGGGAAACCACGACTAAGCAGGAGAGGGAAGGAAGGTGAAGGAAGGAGAAGAGAAAAGGACGAGGAAGGAGAGAGAAGGAAGGGAAAGGAAGAGGAGGGAAGGAGAAGGAAGAGGGAAGGAGAAGGAAGAGGGAAGGAGAAGTTTCAAACATGGGGCGAACGCTGAAGCAAGAGGAAAAAGCAAGGGAAGGAAGGAAAAGGCAAAAAGGAAGGAAGGAAGGAAGGAAGGAAGGAAGGAAGGAAGGAAGGAAGGAAGGAAGGAAGGAAGGAGCCGTTTTCGAGAAAAAAACAAAGTTTCAAACACGGGGCGAACGGTGTTTTCGGGGCCCAAAAATGCTTTTCGCCCCGTGTTTGAAACTTTCCAGCATCCTGCACGCTTGGCTAAACTTTAGGGGGAGTTGGTGTAACGGTATCATCCCCGGGTCCCAGGCTCAATCCTGCCCATTTTTGGGTCCCGAAAACACCGTTCGCCCCGTTTTTGAAACTTTCCCTAAAACGGCTCCTTCCTTCCTTCATTTGCCTTTCTCCTCCTTTGCCCTTCCTTTGCCTTTCTCCTTCCTTTGCCCTTCCTTTGCCTTCTTCTTCCTTCCTTTTCCTTCTCCTTCCTTTGCCTTTCTCCTTCCTTCCTTTTCCTTCTCCTTCCTTTGCCCTTCCTTTGCCTTTCTTGTTTCTTTGCCCTTCCTTTGCCTTTCTCCTTCCTTTGCACTTCCTTTGCCTTTCTCCTCCTTTGCCCTTCCTTTGCCTTTCTCCTTCCTTTGCCCTTCCTTTGCCTTCTTCCTCCTTCCTTTTCCTTCTCCTTCCTTTGCCTTTCTCCTTCCTTCCTTTTCCTTCTCCTTCCTTTGCCCTTCCTTTGCCTTTCTCCTTCCTTTGCCCTTCCTTTGCCTTTCTCCTTCCTTTGCCCTTCCTTTGCCTTTCTCCTCCTTTGCCCTTCCTTTGCCTTTCTCCTTCCTCTGCCCTTCCTTTGCCTTCTCCTTCCTTCCTTTTCCTTCTCCTTCCTTTGCCTTTCTCCTTCCTTCCTTTTCCTTCTCCTTCCTTTGCCCTTCCTTTGCCTTTCTTGTTTCTTTGCCCTTCCTTTGCCTTTCTCCTTCCTTTGCACTTCCTTTGCCTTTCTCCTCCTTTGCCCTTCCTTTGCCTTTCTCCTTCCTTTGCCCTTCCTTTGCCTTCTTCCTCCTTCCTTTTCCTTCTCCTTCCTTTGCCTTTCTCCTTCCTTCCTTTTCCTTCTCCTTCCTTTGCCCTTCCTTTGCCTTTCTCCTTCCTTTGCCCTTCCTTTGCCTTTCTCCTTCCTTTGCCCTTCCTTTGCCTTTCTCCTCCTTTGCCCTTCCTTTGCCTTTCTCCTTCCTCTGCCCTTCCTTTGCCTTCTCCTTCCTTCCTTTTCCTTCTCCTTCCTTTGCCTTTCTCCTTCCTTCCTTTTCCTTCTCCTTCCTTTGCCCTTCCTTTGCCTTTCTCCTTCCTTTGCCCTTCCTTTGCCTTCTCCTTCCATTGCCTTCCTTTTCCTTCCATTTCCTTCGATTTCCTTCCTTTTCCTTCCTTTCCTTCCATGTCCTTCCATCTCCTTCCATTTCCTTCCTTTTCCTTCCATTTCCTTCTATCTCCTTCCTTCCCTTCCATTTCCGTCCTTTTCCTTCCTTTTCATTCCTTCCATTTCCTTCCATGTCCTTCCATTTCCTTCCATTTCCTTCCAGTTGCTTCCTTTTCCTTCCTTTTCCTTCCATTTCCTTCCATGTCCTTCCATCTCCTTCCTTTTCCTTCTCCTTCCTTCCGTTTCCTTCATTTCCTTCCTTTTCCTTCCATTTCCTTTCTTCCATTTCCTTCCATGTCCTTCCATTTCCTTCCATTTCCTTCTATCTCCTTCCTTCCCTTCCATTTCCGTCCTTTTCCTTCCTTTCCATGTCCTTCCATTTCCTTCCATTTCCTTCCATTTGCTTCCTTTTCCTTCCTTTTCCTTCCATTTCCTTCCATGTCCTTCCATCTCCTTCCTTTTCCTTCTCCTTCCTTCCTTTTCCTTCATTTCCTTCCTTTTCCTTCCATGTCCTTCCATTTCCTTCCATGTCCTTCCATTTCCTTCCATTTCCGTCTCCTTCCTTCCTTCCTTTTCCTTCTCCTTCCTTCCTTTTCCTTCCTTTTCCTTTCATTTCCTTCCATTTCCTTCCATCTCCTTCCTTTTCCTTCTCCTTCCTTCCTTTTCCTTCATTTCCTTCCTTTTCCTTCCATTTCCTTCCTTTTCCTTCCATGTCCTTCCTTTTCCTTCCATTTCCTTCCCTTTCCTTCCGTTTCCTTCCTTTTCCTTCCATTTCCTTCCCTTTCCTTCCTTTTCCTTCCTTCTCCTTCCATTTCCTTCCATTTCCTTCCATTTCCTTCCATTTCCCTCATCCCTTCTTCTTAGTCGGTGTTACCGCAAAGTTAGTCGAGGTTGCCCCAAAGATAGTCGGTGTTACCAGAGGCTTGTCGTGGGTACCCCCCTTCCTGGGTTACCTGAATCATTGAACCTCGAACCAAAAAGAGAACTCGCTGGTGGTGGAAGATTGAATCCTGCCAAGTCTCTTGTCAAATCTTCGTCAGACCGGCGCCATGGGGCCCTTGGTTTGGCACACTAAAGCCCGGGCGCGTTAAACCGTTCAAGCTTCCCCTGAGAACCCCCTGCCCCCCCCCCAAAAAAAAAAAAAGAATGAAGGGCGGTACGTTGCCAAACCTTCAACAAAAAATACGCAGAAGTTTCAGCTGGGGAACGCTATGCCCGAAAGATCCTCATGTTCAGAGGAACGTCCTTTTCCCTTTCCGGATTCAATGCGAATGTGCAAGGAGTAAGCTTCGACCAGCATGTTGAACAACCCAGCACAGAAAATACCGACACGCTCGTGACCCACTGCTCTCTCTCTCTCTCTCTCTCTCTCTCTCTTGCTCTTTGTTCAATGGATTACCTTATGTACCCGTATTTAATTGGCAGCCATTTGGGCATGAGGTTCAATTGGGGCTGCGATTTGTGACTCCTTCTTGATCAAGATGCGTAGCCATGCACCCATCAATAAAAACAATGGGTCCCACCCATTTTGCACAATCTGAAGAGGAAAAAGAAAGAAGAAGGGGGGGGCTCCTCCACAAAAATGACTCGAACCCACCCTTAAAAAGGGGTGGCCCTTCAGCCCAGCCTTTCAAACTCAACCGGAAAAAAAAGAAGGGCAGGGGTTGGGCCTCCTCCACAAAAACGACTCGAACCCACCCTTCAAAACGGGTGTCCCACCCTTCGCCCATTTACCCAGCCTTTCAAACTCAACCGGAGAAAAAATGGAAGAGAAAAAAAAGAAGGGGGGCCTCCTCCACAAAGACGACTCGAACCCACCCTTCAAAACGGGTGTCTCACCCTTCGCCCTTTTACCCAGCCTTTCAAACTCAACATAAAAATAATTATTAGAAGAAAAAAAAAGAAGAAGAAAAAATAAAAACACAGAAAGAAAAAAAGAAGAAGAAGAAAAAGAAAAAAAAACGCCCCGCCCCGCACCAACCCTGCGCCACGCTGAGGCGCAGCTCCCGACTCCCGGCCGTCGCTCCCGGCCGTCAAGGCCGGCCACTTGCAGCTCGAGAGGCACCAGAGCCATGGCCGCTATCTGCTGCGATAGCTGGGATCCACTATCTGGCTGCCTTAAAGGAAACCATTAGATTGATAAAGGATGCACTTAAAGGAAACCTTGGGGATCCCCTCAGTTGGATTGCTTTCTTTCTTGTGTTTTGTATTTTTCTCTTCTCGGGGGCATTCCATTTCTCATTCCCTCTGCATCTCTCGTACCGAATTTGCTTTTTTCTCGATTTGTCTGAAGGCTGTGCTGCTTGTTTCGGAGTTGTCGCTGTGCGGATGTCTTCTTGGAGGTGTGCTGCGTGCTCGTCAGTGTTTGGAGGCGAGAGTTTCTTTCAAGGGCTTGTTTCGTGTACATGTCAATTGAACTAAGAACGGGAAATGAGAGATCGAAGTAGTTTGCCAAGCACTGAGAGTACGTGATTCTGACCTGTTCCTGAATCCCGATTCGATTCCTCAACTGTTGCAGTCCACCATTCAAGCGACATGCCAAAGGTGCAGGAGGAGTCACTTATGTGTCTTGTTGGTGAGACCCCCAACTTTTTTAGTTTTCCTCTTGGCTTCCCTTTCAGAACCAGCTGTGGGTCAAAACCCTGTACCCCTGATCAACGTCAAAATAGGTTGCAAATGGATGTTCCTCCACCCCAATATGGACATGGAGCCATAGCCTATGCCCCATGGCCATCCCACGCATAATAAGCCCGCAAAAGGAGCGTCCTCTACAAATGACAGCAACAAATGTGCAGGGATGTAATTTGGAGGGTCCTCCAGGCTCGACCGCTCAAACCCCTGCGAGAGGGTTCCTCGGGCCCCGCGCTCCCCGAAATGCCGCGCCAGGCCGAAGTCGCAGATCTTCAAGACGCCGCTCCTGGCACGCACACCCGGGACCGAAGGATCCCCCAATTAGATTGATTCATTGATTGATTGATTGATTGATTGATTGATTGACTGATTGATTGATTGATTGATTGGTTGGCTGGCTGGTTGGTTGGTTGGTTCATTGATTGATTTGGCTGGCTGGCTGGCTGGTTGCTTGGTTGCTTGGTTGCTTGGTTGCTTTCCCAGGCCTCTCCCGAAGCAAACGAGAAAGTAAGGCTGCGAAAAGAGCTGAGCAGCAACCAGCCAGCCAGCCAAATCAATCAATCAACCAAGCAACCAAGCAAGCAACCAAGCAACCAAGCAACCAAGCAACCAAGCAACTGGCTCTCCTTTTAGAGTTCAGAAGTTCTGTTCAACTTTTGCCGTTTCTCTCTTTGACCCGGCCCGGGGGCCTAGTGTTTGCTCTTTCTTTCTAAGCCCCCAACCTGCAAAAACCAACCATGCAAGTCACACATTGCATTGTCTTTTGTGGAAAGTACCCCTTGTTTCAACCAAAGGGAAAACGACCATTTTGGGGGGGGCCGTCCCCGACCCCCCCCCCCCGTACAAAGAAAAAAAGACACACCCAAACACACCTCTCTCACGCAAGCACGGGAGAAAGGGGTCCGATGGTCCTGTCCAGAAGGATGTTGGACGTCTTGAGGTCTCGGTGCATGATCCAATTCTTGTGCAGGAACCTCAGCCGAGCAAGCTTCAAGCGGAGAACCAAAAAAGCGCGAAGCTCGGCTTGGCTCCCTGAAAACCCCAAGCCAACCCCCAACCAGATGCAAGGCTTGCAAACGAACAAACCCAGGAAAATAGACCATTAAGCCCACATAACGCCATATAAGCCATCAATGTTACATATTCCCCCTCCCCCTGGACGGTCACCCTCATCCCCTGCACCCATTGGGCCCTTTCTGATCGATGCCACGGCGCTGTAGGCCGGTGAGGAGCTGCCGCAGCAGGCACTTCACGTCCGCCACCCCGAAGGCGAGCTGGGCCACGAGGAGTTTGAGCTCGTGCTCGATGTACTCCATGACCATGAAGACGTGCTGCAGCGTGTTCCCCACCACCTGGGCATAGGCGGCAGAGAGGTGTCCTTTAGGAAATCGATGGCCCGAGGAAGATGATGAAGCCATCAGGTAAGCCAGGGCCATCGTTTTTTCGACCCAAACAGCCAAAAAGGACACCTATGGGCCTGGGCCCAAGGGGTCTGCTACTGTGGGTGGGCAACATCCAACTCGCACCACGAAATGAAACCAGGGCTGAAACCATTGATTGTTGGTCCTTGGAAAGAGCTACCGTTTCGCAAGCACCACGAAATGAAACCTGGGCTGACTCCAGCTGAAAGTTGGTAGTTGCGTCGAGGGAATCGAATCATTCCGTTGGGTTTCTTTGGTGGGTGGGGGCAAGGTGGCAAACAGAAGCCAGAAGCCAGAGGACCAAGGCTGAAAACAAGGCTGGCACAAGGATTGCATGCACAGTTGGTGTCCCACCTGAGAGACTGCACTATGTAAGACGCGAGCTAGACAGCCCGATTGTGTCAGGCAAGCCGAGGCCACCGCCACCTCGTGGCAACGGACAATGTTCGGATGCCGGGCCTGGCTGAGCCGTTGCCCCGCGCGGCAAAACTCGACCCGGGAGAGCCTACGCATCATTTGGGACGCACGGTCGTCCTGTTTGGGAAATGCAGCGAGCCGCTCTTGCTCAAACAGCCCCCTGACAGGTACAGTCACCTCCCTTTGCCAAAATGCTAGCCGGGGGAAGGCCGGGGCTCCGAAAACGAATGAAGCCCTCACCCTTGTAACTTGAAGGATGGCCCCTAGTCAAACCATACATTTCCCACAAGAGGACGCTCCTTCAAGTGATGAACCCCATCATTCAAGTGTTTTGCTCAGGGCTTCGTCTTTTTCGGCGGGAGGAGAAAGCTTTCTTAAAGGGGCAGCGAACTTTGTAAGTGGTTAGTCAGCCTGGTTACAACCCACTTAGGAGACTTATAACCATGGTAAGTGGGTTATAACTATTTTGTATCACCCACTTACTAACTTCCATTTGCGTAAGCCCCCTGGAAAAAAAATCTAGTGATTAGATCCCCTTTAAAACCAGCCAGGGAAATGTGTAAAAACAAAAAATATCTTCAGCCAATGGATGCGAAGAGTCCCCGACCGCCCGCCCACATTTTTTCACGCGCTGGCGGTCGGTCGCCAGTCCCCGGTCGCCTCCAGGAGGAGCGACATCTCCCGCAGGGAGGCCACCGGGAAGCCATCCTCCGACTTCACCGCCGCCAGCTTCAGCTGCTTCAGCGCGACCACCTGGCGAGCTGCGAGCTGCGAGCGAGCTGCGGGGGCTCTGGTTGGTGTCCCTTGGGCTTTGTTGGGCAAACCCGAGAGGAAAAAAACAAGGAGATCATGCGATTTTTTCAGGGGGCGGTCGAAAATTGTTGCCAAACTGCTGGGTTCCTTGATGTATTTTGAGGCTCTCGAAATTTTTCCTTTGGGGGTGGGCTTCCATGTAGAGGGGGATGCTGAGGATGTCACTTTGATGGGCACAGAATCAGGCATAGGTTTCCTGTGAAACCTCATCTTTCGGTCCAGCGGAGCAATGGGCACCCTGTTTTCTCGGCGCCCCAACCTATTCTTTGATCCCACTAAGAGAGAAATGAGGAGCTCCGAGGAAATCCCGGAGCATGGGGCATTGGGCCAAGCCTTTGTTTACCTGTAACCGGGGGAATTTCGGTTTGGTCATATAAACCCATTTGGTGCATTTTACAGTGCTCAAAATCTCCACACTTTGGGTGCCTTGATCAGGTGGGAAGCCAGAATTTCACCCATGACTATACATTCTTAAGACCGAGAACCGAAAGCAAAACCAGCCAGTTGACTGGGCACAAAACTGTGCCACACATTTACACATGGCGTGGAGCATGATGATAGTCCGTCTCTTTTGGACATGTGGCAGCCCGTGATAGCCCGTGCGTCCCATGCCTCTCCGGTCTCGACATCGCAGGCCCGGTACACCACGCCGTAGGTGCCCTCGTCGATGCGGTTCAGCTTGCCTGGGCCCCTTCCAAGGGCAGCCCCAGGGAGGTTGCTGGAACACATACCCCTCCCAGGTGAGCATCTTGGGCCGGCTCTCCACCTACAGTTTTCACCTCCGTAGCTCCAGCCTCTGCAATTTATACAATGTCCAAAACCTGAATTAAGGGATCCCAAGTAAAGGACATTGTCGTGGCGAGCTCGTTTTATCCCCACATAAGCTCGCTATAAAATAGGCACCAGCATTCCTTGGGAGAGTCAGGGGCTTCAGCGATGCTCCAACATCTTCTTCGATGCCCAGTCACCATGGGAAAAAAGGGGCATCCTTCTTTGGTTGGTTGAGTTTAAGGGGGAATCCTTCCAAAAAAGAAGGGGAAAAAGGGCGCCACCCAAGGGAAAAAAATAAAAAGCAAAAAGGGCGGAATCCACTGGGCAACTGGGTCTTCAACCGCGCCGCGGTAGCGCTGCACGCTGCGGCACCGGCTCAGCGGCCCCAGGCCCTCGCCATCGAAGCCGCCGCTTCGCGGGCGCTTGGCCGGCCACGCCATGGACGGAGAGCCCTCTTCCGCGTTTTGGAAAACGTAAAGCGGTCGTGTTTTTTTCCCCCTCAAGGGAAACCCAAAGGAAACTGGGCCTTTTCCTCTTTTTCTTGGGGGGTGGGACTTTCATTTACGACCCGCCCAAGTGCCGGAGCAACTCTGAGGCAAGAATCTTGGGACCTCAAGGTGCTTTGGGGAGGCGGGGCACAACCAAGTTGCTCGCAGGAGGCAAATTTGCGGCGCACCTGTAGGGTTACCCTTGGGTTTCAACATGACAAATGCAGGTGGCCCCAATCCGGTTGTCAGGTTCCACCTGTTCTCTTTTCACCCATCGCCTGCTTTGGAAACAGGAACCCATGCACATGCCCCGGACCATTTCAGGGTAGAAGCCGGCGCTGCGGCCGTTTCTTTGGGCCAGCTGGGCGAGTCAAGCCATGCCACCACAAAAAAAACACACTGGGATCCTGCTTGGCCCAAGCTAGTTGCGTTGCGTTGCAGTTCGCCGTGACGTTGGGGGAGTTTATAGCACCTGACGTCTGAAGTGTGCTTGCGCAGCTGCGCCTTCGGTTCGGCAAGATTTCTTTTTGCATGTGCTTGCGCAGCTCTTGCAAGTTGAGTGACCACAATCGTGGCATCAAATGCGGGCGCCAAAATTTCACGGCGGGGCAGGGGCCAATTCGCATCATCAGGCTGACAGTTCGGGCGGGTTCGGTCGTTCCCAAGTCTCAGCATGACTGCGGCTTGCCCCCGGCAAGCGGGCGCGAAATTACGTGAGGCCTGCGCCTGCGCAGGCCTCCCGTTGCAAGAGGCTCAGATCAGATGCCAATGCCTGGTCCCATGCGCCCCTTGCGGGCCGTTGCTCCCAACTGACGGGCCCCCCTTCCAACTTCCGCAGAAGCCTTACCTGAGCTGTGAAACGGCAACCTGTGCCTTAAAAGGACCTTCGGGCCGGCCCCAGCTTGCAGCACCCGGCCCTCCCTTCCCTTGCGCGGAGAGAGCTCGGGCAACTGAGCATGCCCTCACCCCGCCGTCACGGTGACCTGCCGGTCGGCCGTCCTGAGCCGCGCGAGAACGTTCACCGCCAAGACTTGTTCACGCGCTCGCCAGAAATTTACACCCACGTTCACCTAACATTCCCAGAAACGTGGTCTCTTCACTGGGCTGTCCGTTTTCAGATCCGCCAAGAGTTGAACTTCTAGTGGGTAAAATGGAAACCCAGCCACTAAACACTGCCTCAGGAACCGGATGCCTTGCCACGTCTTTTGTGGCTGGCTTGGCTCTGAGTCGCCGAGGTGCATGTTCAGGACGGGCACGCCGCCGGAGATCGGGCGATCCTTCCCTGCGCACGGATAAACTGACCTGTTCTTGGTTTCTTCTTGGTCTCACCTTACCATATTGGTTTCACCTCAACTGCACCTTGATGTCACCTCATTTCCTACATGGCACTCAAAAGGAGAGTTCCCAAAAAGACATCTCCACAACCTGATTGTTTATTCGATGGGGTGTCTTGTGTAGGGGACCCCCAAAAAACATGTCTTCGGTTTTCCTCTCGGCCTCCCTTGAAAGCCCAAAAAAAGACAAGCGAAACGCCCATCTTGGGTTCCATGCCGCAGCCCGGTTCCAGTCGAAATGCAAAAGCAGACTTAAACAGATTAACGCTTCAAGTCTTGCTTCAGCCAAGGTTTTCCTTGGGTCCACCGCACACCCCAAGAAACTCAGATGAGTTGGAAGCTGACAGGAGACTTGGAAGCTGACAGGAGACTCTTGGGGAATCGCCTTGTCCACTTCCATGATTGGTGGAGTGATGGCATCAAGCAGCTTATGATTCACAACCACGGTTATAAGTTGTAAGCTACAACTGGGGTAAATGGGTGTCTTTTTCAGGGGAACCTGCAAAACGGTGGCCTTTCCTTTTCCTTTCCCTTTGACAGCACAAAAATGGAGAGGGAGGGGGGGGGGGGCCTACCCTCAACAAAGAAGATACACCCAAAGGCTTGTTGTAACGCCTCTCCTTGAGCGCAGTTTTTCGGGGCATTTCTTCCGCTCAGTGGAAGCCTGACATGTTTGCTCTTTGGTTTCTGGTCATGTGGACCCAGATTCATCAACCCCGGTTTAAAAATGGGGGGAATGTTCCCCACCAAAAAGAAACAAAAGCGAAACCACCCATGCTTGTTTGGACGGTAGGCTGCGGGATGCCTCTCCGAGCTCATCAAATTTGCAGGCCACACAGCGCTGCGCGAGCTGGAAAGAAGAAGCGGCTGAACCCTTGTGCATCATCCTTTGGACCCGGCCAAAAGGTGATGGATTCAAAGCCATCCACAAGAAAGCTCATCAGGGGAAGCCTGAGAAACTCAGCGAATGGGAGAAACTGAAGCGAAACTCCGGAGACCATCCCTCTAGAGACCAGCCCTGAGCGACTGCCATCAGCTACGCGAAATCAGCTCCATGGCGGGGCCCGCCCCCCGCCATGGCGCCCTGCCTGGGCAGCCCAGGTCAGGGGGGGAGCCCAGGAAGGCCATCTGTGGCCTGACGCTCAGCTGGCCGCTCACGACGCTCAGTCCGACCCAAACCTTGAGCGGCTTGGGCAGGCGAAACGGTGTACAAACCACCCGAGCCACCTCTGGTTGGCTGTAAATGGAGCATTTGATATCAGATTCCATGTCCATGGACAGGTGGACAATCCAACAACCCTCGTGACTGATAGAACTCGATGAACTAGATGATGAGCAAACCCCAGGTTCATTCGGCCAATTCTTCTTGATCACAGAATGGTGACAAGTATCTCACCCGTTTGGGGCGGGACAAGGGAATCCATTGCTAAGAAGCTGGACCTAGGGCCCAATCCAGCGAAGAGGGCCACAGGGTCAGCAGCCAGCCAGCTGGCCTCTTAGGACCAGAGAGCGGCGCAACAGAAGAAAGTTCTTGTGGCTCAAAATGAAGCAGCTGGAGGTACATAGGCGTTAGTCTACTTGGCCATGGGTCACAACCCTGTACCCCCAGTGAACATCCCAATCCCGACTAAAATAGCATAAATTGGGTGCGCCTACCCCAAAATGCTACCATTGGCTTTGACTCACACCCACTTGTCCATTTACTAGGGTTCCACTTTGGAGCCCGATTTTTCAGCCACTCCCATCTTGTCTGACCCGCCCAAACGGGAAGATTCGGAACGGGGTATGTGTGTTGAGGCGATCCTTGAGGGTTCTCTGGGATGGCGGAAGCACAGGGGGCCCCCAACGCTGTCTGCCACAGCGCCCGAAGAAGCAAGCAGTGCCCCAAACCACGAAGAATGAGCCTGGACGAAATGGACCCAACACGCATATGATGCTGGCATGTCCGTTTCCCCATTCATCATTCTGCTTCCCACTTGACGCAGCAGCACCCCAAACCAGGGACTCACGCAATCTAGCACTAGAAACTCCTCACATCCAAACAAACCGGCTCGGATACCTCATACTTCAACCCGAGAAATACTGTGGATGGACGAAACCCATTTCGCACCACTTTGACAAACCACGGGAACCAATTGTTGGTTGGCATTTACCAGGTGAGTCAAATCTCTCCAGGGTTTCTTAGGTGGTGCGAAACGGATTGCGTCCATCCACAGCTCACTTGCCCAAAAGACCTGGAAATAAAAGGTTAACCTTTTGGGACCTTTACTAAAAATGGGACCCAAAATGGGAAAACCAAAAGGTCAAAAGGTCGATTCGCCTTGGGCAAGTGAGACAGAAAACCTTCACAGATGGAGCCCTCCCGTTCCTTTTGGAGCCCCTAGGCTCCCGGCAGCGTGGGCTTCTGCTTGACGGCGCTCCGCGGCCGCCGGCAGAGGCCTGGACACGCGGCGTGTGTTTTTTTCCCTTGCCGGTGCGAGAGATGCAGAGAAGGAGACATGGAACGACCCCTAGAAAAACCATCCCACTGGTGGTTTCCTTTCAAATAACCAAAGCCTGGGCATTCCATTTCACATTCCTTACTTGTCGCACCAGCTTGGTGTGGCTGGGCCCAAGGGTGGGATCAGAAGCATTGGGAACCCAAGCCCCAGCCCGCGAAACAGAAATATCAGACGGGCTTCAATGGGGCTTTGGCCTCTCAGCCCCGTCACAGGTTCCTGGGAACCCGAAATGCCGAACAAAGTTGTCAACCACAATATAGGCAAAGTGGTTGCAAGAATCGTAGGATCAGTGACACGATCCATGCTGGAGTAACCACAATGGCAATCATGCAACAGCTGTGAGAACCGTCTGCAAGACAAGCCTTGGACGTTTGAGACACATTCTCCAAACAGCCACGGAAGGAGAAGGCATTAAGCCAACAACGGCTCCAGTGCGCCATTTAACAGTCTTCCCTTCTTGTTTGCAATGTCCGAGGTTGAGCGGGACCCTGCATTCTAGATTTTAAAATTTTAAGTATAGTAAGGTTCAGTTTGTTTTTTTCTTTGAGTGTAGGCCGACCCTCCGCCTGGCCCCTCCGCGGTCACCAACCCGCCTGGGGCCTTCTTGGCAGGCAATGGCCTGCCGGCACAGCTCGAGCCACTTTGGGAAACTTGCCACTCAGTAGCTACCCCCCAAGCAAATGCAAACGGACAGAGGGCAAGCGACCTTTGCAATGTTCCCTTGATGTTGACGTGTTTAAGTGACCTGTCCGGATTTCAAAGTAAATCAAAGGAAACGTCAAACACTTGGAAGGCCCACAACTCCCACAAAAGGAATGGTGATCCTGACAAGAAGTAAAAGGCAATACAATAGCCGGTGAAACAAGCATCTGACATGTCGCCCCTTAATCTTTCCAAGTAGGGACCGAGCCTCTGGTGGGTTGCTAAAGCACTGAATGAGCTTGGAGTGGGACAAGGGGCTGGTTATGAACCCGTTCCCACCTATGGGACGTGGTCGCGCGCTTCCCTTCGAAACCATCCAAAAAAGGACCTGTTTCAGCGCGCACACACACACATAGGAAAGGCACTTGCTTGCGTGCCCAGGCATCGGAAGCTGTCAAACCTTGCTCCAACCACACCTCGCCATAAGCACCAGGCCCTCGCGGCACCATGTCAACCCTGGATATGTCCCTCCAAATGATTGATGGCTTC